ACAACAGGGGTAGGACCTGTGCAACCTAATGGGAATCAGAAGGTTTTGTGCTTGAAGAGACTCACTGGTATCTACTCAAACCACCCAGAACAGAGCACCAGGAGGTCAGACAGTATCATCTGTGCAGTACTGCCTGGCAGTTTTACTTTTTACTTCACATGCCCTTTATTCTAGAAGAATAAATGAAAGAGACAAAAATAAAATGACTGCAGTTGAAGCATAGTTAATAAACTGTATACAACTTAGAGATGGAATTAGGCAAGGTGACAGCAAGAAATCTTTAGCTTGAGTTATTCAACAGAAATTATTTCATAATGAAAAGAAAGAATTAATGAACAATGTAAGAAATGTTGGGAATACACTACTGATAATTGTATATAAAATATTTTACCCTGGTGTGAAAATTAGCCTCTTTTAACATATAGCAACACTTGCCATTTGAGAAGCCAGGTATTGCTTATGAAGCTACTCCTAAAATTTTACTCCTCTTCATAATAAATTAAATAAAAATAACCAAAAGTCCTTAACAGCAAAAATGTCATCTGTCCAATATCACAAACTAACATAACTATACAGTACTTTATAGAGAGTACCTAACCATCACTTTCATGCCACACATGACAGAACTCAGAGCTAACGAAGGCAAATAGCTTTTGAAAGTGCTATAGCTATACAGGGCAGACCTGAAGGTACAAACTAAGTCTGCAAAATCCTAAAATCCAACAAAAAAATATGCTGTCTATAAGAGACCTATCTTAGATCCAAAGACACAGATTGAAGAGTAAATTAATGGAAAAAAGATATTCCATGCAAACACAGTAACCAAAAGACAGCTGGAGTGGTATGTTAATATGAGATAGAATAGACTTTTAGGCAAAAAAAGGTTAAAGAGAAAACGGAAGATGTTATATAATGATAAAAAGGCCAATCCGTGAGAGAGGCAGAACAATTATAAAGATGTATGCAACTAACAAAATACATGAAGCAAAACCAGACAGAACTGAAGGGAGAAATATAGATAGTTCAACAATAATAGTTGGAAATTTCAAGACGTCACTTTCAGTGAAGAATGACAGACAACTTGAACAACACTATAAACCAGCCAGACCAAACATACACAGACGGTGCCATTCAACAATAGAATACAAAAGGAATACTCGCCAGGCTAATATATTAGACAACAAAACCAGTCTCAATAAATTTTAAAAGATAGAAACCACACAAATTACCTTTTCTGAATACAATGGAATGAAATTAGAAATTGGTAACAGAAGAAAATCTAAAAAAAATCACTAATTGGTATATACTAAACAACACACTCTTAAAACCACCCATGGGTCAAAGAAGAAACCAAAAGGGAAATTATAAAATACTTTGAGAAGAATGAAAACAAAAATAAAATATGTCTAAACTTACAGAACACAGTAAAAAGAGTACTGAGAGGGAAATTTATATAGCTATAGAATAAAGAAGAAAGATCTCAAATCAATTTCCCATCCTCCAAAGTAAGGAAATATTAAAATGCGGAGCAAACTTAGGGGCACCTGGATGGCTCAGCTCGTTGAGCATCTGACTCTTGATTTCGGCTCAGGTCATGATCTCTGCTCAGATCGTGATCTCAGGGTCGTGGAATCGAGCCCCACGGTGGACTCCATGCTCAGCGGGCAGTGTGCTTGAGATTCTTTCCCTCTCCTTTCCCTACCTCCCAACCTCCCTCTCTAAAATAAATCTTAAAAAAAAAAAAAGGTAAAAAAAGCAAAGTTAACCAACAACAAGCAAAAGGAAAGAATAAAGATTACAGTGGAGATAACTTAAAGAGAACAGAAAAACAACAGAATCACTGAAATCCCAAAGTTGGTAAAACTGAGAAGTCTTTATCTAGATTGATGAAGGAAAAAAAAAAAAGAGTGGACCAAATTACTAAAATCAGGAATGAAAATGGGGACACTACCAACCTTATAGAAATAAAAAGGAATTTGTAAAAAGACATTATAAACTTTTTAAAAAAAATAACTTTACTGAGATATAATTCGTATACCATACAACCAACCCATTAAAAGAGAACAACTGGATATTCACAGATACATGTAACCATTACCACAGTAAATTTTAAAACCTTTCGATCATCTCAAACAGAAACCCCATACTCTTTCGCTATCATCCCCTTTTGCCTATTCCTCCTAGCCCTAAGCAACCATTTATCTACTTTCTATCTCTATAAATCTGCCTGTTCATGATATTTCATATAATTGGAATTAAATAATATATTGTCTCTTCTGTTTTGTTCTCCCCACCTACCATGTTTTCAAGGATGATCCATGAGGTCCCATATGTCAGTACTTCATTCCATTTTATGATTGAATAATATTCTCATTGTAATACCACATTGTTTATCCATTCAGCAGCTGATAGACATTTGAGTTGTTTCCACTTTTCGTTGTTATGATTTGTGTGTCTTTGTGTGTGTGGCGCCAACAAATGAGACAATGTACATGAAATGGACAAATTTCTAGAAAGATATGCACACTACCAAAACTGACTCAAAGAGAAATAGAAAACATAAATAGACTTGGAACAACTAAACAGATTAAATCAGTTCTTAAAAAAACATTAAAAATCAGGACTTGATGGCTTCCTATGTGAATTCCAGCAAACATTTATAGAAGAATGAGCATAGGGCAACCCTCTCAGGTCCCCTCCCTCCTCGGGAGCTTTGTACTATCACTTTGCTATCACTCAATAAACCTTGCTTTGCTGCCCACCACTCTGTCTGGTCCACCTCTCCATTCTTCAAAGCCCCATGACCAAGAATCGCAGGCACCGACAGAGAAAAAAATCCAGTAACACCCATGCTTTAATAAAACCATCATTTGCATGGAAGGAAGGAAGGAAGAATAAGCATCAATAATTTTCAAACTCTTCAAAAAAATAAAGAACAATTCCTAACTCATTCTTAGAGGTCAGTTAAACAGATAAAGTTATCACAAAAAATGAAAAGTACTAAACAAATGTCCCTTATGAATACAGGTGCAAAAATCCTCAACAAAATACTAGAAGCAAACTAAATCCAAGAGAGTATTATGTGGAATATTCCCATAATCAATCAAGTGGGATTTATCCCAGAACTGCAAAAGTGGTTCAACAGGCGAGAATCAATTAATACAACATATTTAAAGAAAAAAGTAAAAACACTACATGGTCATCTCAATTGATATAGAAAAAGCAGCTGGCAAACTGCAACACCTTTTCAGGATAAAAACATTCAACAAATTATGTATAGAGGGACTTTCCCTAAACTTGGTAAAAGAAATGTAGGAAAATCCAACAGCTAACATCATACTTAATAATGAAATGCTTTCCCCTTAAGAACAGGAAAATAATTTCACTTACAAAAGCATTCAAAAGAGTAAAATACAAAGGAATAAATTTAACTAAAGGAAATGTAAAACAGGTGCCAAGAACTGCAAGACTAAAAACTTCAACACAATGCTTAAATTAAGGAAGATCTAAATAAATGGAAAGACAGCCTGTGTTCAAGGACTGAAAGACTTCATATTGTTAAGACGGCAATACTCCCTCCCCAAATTGAATGAAAATGAAAACCACTTCACAAACACTCCAGTTGCATATTTTTTAAAAGCGGGGGTTGGGGGGACAAGTGTTGGTGAGGATGTGGAAGTCAGAACATTCATACGTTGCTGGTGAAAACATAAAATGGTAGAACCACTACAGAAAACAGTTGACTAGTTTCTCGAAAAGCTAAACATAAAATTACCAGTTGATCCAGTAATCCCACTCCTAGGTACAGAGAATCGAAAAACCTATGTTCACACAACATCCTGTACCTCAGTGTTCATAGCAGCATTATTCAAAATAATGAAAAAATGGAAACAATATAAATATAAATGAACTGATGAATGGATAAGTAAAATGTGGTGTATCCACTGAAAGAGTATTATTCAGCACAGAAAGGAATGAAGTAGTGATTTTATATGACAAACAGATGAACTTTGAAAACCTTATGCTAAGTGAAAGAAGTCAGACACAAAAGCCCACGTATTGTATGATTCTATTTATAGGAAATGTAAATAGGCAAATCCATAGAGACAGAAAGCAGATTAGTGGTTACCAGGGCTGAGGAGAGAAGAAATGGGAAATATTGGCTTAATTGCTACGGAATTATCTTTTGGGGTGATCAAAGTGTTCTGGAATTAGTGGTGATGGATGCACAACACTGTGAATGTACTAGAAGCTACTAGACTGTATACCTTTAAGTGATTAAAACAGAGAATTTTATATGAATTTTACCTCAATTAAAAACAAAAAAACAACGAACTTAAACCTACCCAGCAACATACAAATTAAAATAATCAGAAGTCCTTCCAGTATTCCTATATTCACATGCTCAAAACCTAGATCTAAAAACAGGCATCACAGGGCACCTGGCTGGCTCAGTCGGTGGAGTGTGTGACTCTTGATCTCGGGGTCTTGATTTTGAGCCCCAGTTGGGTGTAGAGATTACTTAAATAAATAAGTAAATCTTAAAAACTGGCATCAAATACTTCACAATTGTGATGTTATTAACAGCTCTCAGACAACTTTTAAATTCTATCTACCATAAAAGGAAGGGATAAGAGAAAAAAAAAATCATATACTAATCTTAAGGGACAAGTTGTTACTAATCATTGTTCTTACTTTTTTTTTTTTTAAAGATTTTATTTATTTATTTGACAGAGAAAGACACAGTGAGAGAGGGAACACAAACAGGGGGAGTGGGAGAGGGAGAAGCAGGCTTCCCGTGGAGCAGGGAGCCCGATGCGGGGCTCGATCCCAGGACCCTGGGATCATGACCTGAGCTGAAGGCAGACGCTTAACGACTGAGCCACCCAGGTGCCCCCATTGTTCTTACTTTTAAGTGCAAACAAACCCAATTATTTTAGCAAGCTGATAGGAAAATACAACATCTGTTAGCCCTGTCCTTGGGGACAGCCATAACTCACCAAGTTTCTCTGGCTCATCAGGTCCTGTGCCTGCAATGCAGCTGCTCTCCAGGCCATAGGTGGGATCCACTTTCCCAGAAGCCCGTGCTGCTTCTTGCACTTTCTTGACATGAGCTTCGACCAGTTCCAGTGGCACTTCCTCTCGGACCCGAGAAAACTCCTCTGTTCAAGAATAAAAATGGAATAGTGTGACCTGGTTTTGCACAAATATGTGCTTTAATGTAAATCAGGAAATCCAACACATTAGGGTCTTGCATAGTGACTTTTCTGGGGACTCAGTCTTATTTATCCCAGCAAAACAAGAACGCCAAATGAGACAGTCATGTACACTAATGAAATTCTATGATTCTATGTTTTAACTTACATGTCGCAGTACTTTACTGTATGAACAGAGATTTCTAAATTTCCATTAGTAACAATCAAAATTTCTGCCCAAACTTAATCTAACTCTGCAGGCTAGATTGATAATAAAGCAAACAAGGATTAAACAACCAGAAATCCAAGAAAGGGTTTTACAGTCTGAGAAAGTTCTAATTATAATAAAATCAAACAATGTTAAATTGTTCTTTTGCTAGTTAGGTCCAAGTCCAAATGAATCACAAAATATACCACAAAAATTCTGTTTTGCCCCTCCGATGCTTAATAAATGCTCTTAATTTTAAAAACTATTATATTTTAGGGGTGCCTGGGTAGCTTAGTTGGTTGGGCATCTGACTTCGGCTCAGGTCATGATCTCAGAGTCTTGGGATCGAGCCCCGAGTCAGGCTCCCAGCTCAATGTGGAGTCTGCTTCTCCCTCTCCCCTGCAACGCCCCACTTGTGCATGCATTCTCTCAAATAAATAAATAAAATCTTAAAAAAATATTATAATACTTTTAAATATAACATAAAGGGGTAATGTCTGATTTTCTGCTATATAACTGAAATGAACATAGCAGCTGGTAACACTTAAATCTGAAACAACTTGTATATGAAGGAAAGTACTAAACCATTATCCGAAACTACTATGTTGGCAACATGGTTCAGGAAAGTCCATACCCAAAGCTGCTTTTGCTGCAGCAGATGCCACGCGAGGGTCCACCACTGATGCCAAAAAAGCAACAGTGCTCATTACTGGGTTTCCTGACTGACTGAAAGGGACAGGCTGGTAGGCCAGGGGCCCCAGGGAAGCATCCGAATTCTCAAGGTATGGGTCCTCAATAGGAAGCCTCAGAAAGTGGAGGATGCATTCATCCTGAGTACGACTTCCAACATGCTCTGACACTTTGTTCCAATCATCCTTATACATCTCCAGAGCCTACAACAGAAAAAAACCAGGAGCTTTAGTATCAGGTAATAAGGAACTAATATGTAACAATATCAGAAGCCTGTGACTGTTCTTTAGATGGGTTTTTAAAAAAATAATGAAAATGATTATACAGTCCATAAGAAAATAGGGAGATCTGACTGCTTTCCTAATTATATTAAATCTCAATCGGCAAAATAAATAAATAAAAAGCGTACGTATATAAAAGGAAGAATAACTGTCTTTCATTAATACACACAATTGTTTATATAGAAAACCCAAAGAAATGTACAAAAAGATACTAAAACTAAAAGGTTTAGCAAAGTCACAGGACAGACGTGGAATAGAAAAACTCAATTTTATTTCAATGAAAAGTTTTATGTTGGAAAAAAAGTATTTAAAATACAACAAAAATGAAATACCTAGGAATAAATATAATAAAGAATGTGTAAGATCAACATGCTGGAAAACATAAAGCACTCTGAGAGAAACTAAAGATCTAAATAAATTAAGAGCTAACCATGTTCATCCATCAGCAGTCTCAATATTAGATATCAACTCTCTCCACACTGAATAACAGGTTCAACACAATCCCATTCAAACTCCAAGCCTTTTTTGTTAGAAATTAAGAAACTGGTACTAAAATTTATAAAGTGTATAAATTTCCAATTTAAATATTCATAATTTGTCAGAGAAAAATGCTGAAAAACTTGCAAAAAAAAGTAAAAGCAGTGTCCAAGGGGGAGAGGAACAGAATGTTATGAAGAAACTCAAGGAATTAATTGGAGAAAAAGAATGTATTCAGTAGTTGATTAAAGTTGCTATTCCTACATGATTCTCAACCAGGGGCAATTCTGCCTCCTTGGGGACATTTTTGGGGAGGTGCTACTGGCATCTAGTGGGTAGAGGCCCGGATGCTGTTAAACACCGTACAGTGCACGTAAGAAGAGCCACCACAACAAAAATCTGGCCCAAATGTGGATTGCAGGAGGCTGAAAAATCCTGCTCTAGAGCCTGATTTGCTGATCTACACTGTGAGATGAGCTCGTGAGATGGTTCTTTCCACGTTTATTAAGTAAATTCTTAAACCCAGGGCTCCAACTGCTGCCCCAGGCTTGCCTTCTTGCTGGAGTGGTAGAGGACTCCTCAAAACCCACACCAGCAGATGGTCTTATTCATTAAATCCCTTGAATGACAACGTTAATTCTGGGCTTCCTCTGGATAGCCAGTGGCCGCAGGTAGTTCTAGAAGGAATTACTTAGAAAAAAGACCTAGATTGTAACAAAAAAGAAAATCAATCTCTCTCCCTAGGGTCCCTGGGGCCAGAAACATGTAACTGGGGCTATCTTGTGTTTCCGATTATGGGGAGATTTTCTTGGGATACTCTACCATAGTCTTTTCAAACAAACTTATTAAAAAATTTTTCTTCCTTTATTTTCCTCAGCCAGAGTAAAATAAGAAACTCCAGAAAGTTTTTTCCAGAATACAGCTAAGAAACCCTTTGATATGCAAAATTCAGGAAAGAGTCAGTGTCCAGAAAAGCGCAAGGCTGGGAAAGTGAAGATCCAAGCCTGGGCACTGATGGTAGCATTACATAACAGGAAATCGAAGACATGTTTTCAAACAGAACATGGTGACAGACTGGCTGGGAAGGAGGGGGAGGGCTGATATGTTAGCAGACATTTTACAGTACTACAAAACACCTTCATTCTTCCTGCTATGACCTGGGTCCCTTCACTGCTCCTTACCTGGATTCTTAGAATCCCCTGTCTCTCTAACCTTAAATTCATCCTTCTTCCTGTTGCCAAAATGAATTAGGTTTCACACATGACACTGTCTCTCCTCTGCCTAAAACTATTTCCTTGCTTATAATTATCTTACGGAATTAAGTCCAAACAGGATCAGGGCCCACTCCACCGCACTCTCCTCTTTCATGTTCTAGGAATATCCTGATCCCAAACACTCTTCCAAGTTATTGTGCCTCTGGACACATTGCTCTGCACCAGAAATATTATGTACTAGAGCCAACACAACCGTCCCATTCCCGGGAAGCTGTCCTCTGAGTCTCATCCACCCAGCCTGTCACACAGCCATCCCTCTAGACAGGACTTGTACTCCAGGTACAGCTCCAATCGTGAAGTTAAGGACGCTGCACTCGTGCTGTGTTTTAACCTGTTTCTGTCACCCACTACAGTACGAATCCTTTCAGTGTAGAGTCTATGGTCTAGCTATCTCAGTATGCAGAGCCTGCCACAGAGCCCAATAAAACCTGCTGAACTTAACCACAGGGAACTGGACTAGACCAGGAAAAGAATTTGAGTTTTCCTTGGCTCCAAATGTAAAAAAACACCCTGTAAAAAAAAAGGCTTTTCCTCGGGTGCCTGGGTGGCTCAGTTGGTTAAGCGACTGCCTTCGGCTCAGGTCATGATCCTGGAGTCCCGGGATCGAGTCCCACATCAGGCTCCCTGCTCAGCAGGGAGTCTGCTTCTCCCTCTGACCCTCCTCCCTCTCATGCTCTCTGTCTCTCATTGTCTCTCTCGCAAATAAAGTCTTAAAAAAAAAAAAAATTAAAAAAAAAAAAAGGCTTTTCCTCAAGACAATTGTATTTTTTTTTTTAAACTGGAAGACATACTCATCTAAAATGTAATTCAAAATTACACAGACAAAAAATACTTCTTGGGTGGCCTATCAAGGAAAGGCACATATCAGGTACATGCAGACTGTGAGGAAATCTTTGATGCTGTTTACTATCTTCCAATGCTACTGTTTCTGTGATCTAGCCAGTATAAAGTACGTGAAGAACTCTTCTAGTGATCAACGTTAATAACCTTCATGGCTTTTACCTGCAGGTACAAGATTTCATGTCCACTAGTCATCTAAGGGAAAATAAATACAAGGCATGAGAAAGCCAAGCAGGCATGAGAGACTAAAGTTAACAAAGGAGAACCGATACGCTCCCAGACTCAGGTTTTGTCAATTTCAAGCCCAAGGACAATTACAATGATCAGGAAGACTACATTATCAGCTGTGGACTTAAAAGAACTTATGAAAGCCTCTCTTAAAAATCTCCGCCATCACTATGGAACAGAATGGCACCATTTCTTCTTCCATTCTGGCAGCCTGATACTGTCAATGCAACTTCAAACTGATGGACGGACCAGGTTAGCCCTTCGTGGCTTCTTAAATTGGTGACTCATTTTCAGGTGGCACACCTGGAATTCCTCACACATTTTACAAATGAAATTTACTCAGACAAGTCTCCATCATCGTTATCTTATGCAATATATGTTTTCAAAAAACTAATATAAAGCCTTGTATTAGCCTTCATGTCTACCAACTCAAGGTCTTTTTCAAACTGCATTTATTCATCCAATGTGTAGATTCCACATTGGTTATTTGCAAAACTGAAACTATGCCTCCAAAATCTATAATAAGACAATGAACTGAACATACCCACTGATAATAACCTGCAGCATTCCATATAAGAACTGTGCTTTGATGAGAGACCACATGAAATAAGGTGTTAAAATAAAAGCGGGTGGTCTAAGAATAGTCTAAAATAGTTGGGATGCTGCCTGTGTGATATACTTGTCTAATAAAATGGTGTGATTTCAGGGGGCGGGGAACCACAGACCTTAACAAATCTTCCAGATTTATATATTTATTAGGAAAAAATTAACTGGTTTTGGTTATAAAACCATTATAAATCCACTTCAAATTCTTAAGCTATTAATTACCAATAAATAAACTACAGAAATAGAAGGTGTTAGTGGTAACAACGCTGCTGGGGAGCCTCTGTATAACCGAAGATGACAGCTGTTGATTCAACTGCATGTTTAAAAGAAAACCCAACCACGGGACAGCTTCCACCTGCAGGAGAAGAAAATGTACTATTGTGTAAGGATACTGTGGTTTTCTTGGATATGTTCAGGGTAAACAGCAGCTCAGCCATTCTGGCCTCACTCTGTATTTACTATTCACTATTCTTAAATGTAGAAGAGGAGAAAATGTTGAATATCAGTGTGTAGCAAGAACAAGAACTGATAAGACTGGTGTTCCAACTGGTGCTGCACAACTAAATTTCTCCCCAGAGCCCAGAGACTCTAAAAAAGCAGTATGAGGGCGCCTGGGTGGCTCAGTTGGTTAAGCGACTGCCTTCGGCTCAGGTCATGATCCTGGAGTCCCTGGATCGAGTCCCGCATCGGCCTCCCTGCTCGGCAGGGAGTCTGCTTCTCCCTCTGGCCCTCCCCCCTCTCATGTGCTCTCTCTCATTCTCTCTCTCTCAAATAAAAAAAAAAAAAAAAAAGCAATATGAAAGTGTATCATATTCCCTCCAAATACTGGGAACCTTTAAGTTAACATCCATGGCAAACAGGACTGGACAAAACAGTCCTGAAATAAATAAAGGGTGGCTCAGAAAAGAAGCTCTCTGCATATCACTGATAATGAATGAGTAGATGAGAGTACATTAAAACAGTAGTAAAAAAAAAAAAAAAGAAGAAATCTTTTTGAATTTTAATCCAGAGACCGAGAGAGATTGAGAAGAGAGAAGAAGGAAAAGTAGACGAGGGATGTAAAGAAAGGAAGTTAACACACCACTAAAACTTCTTAAAAATACAACTGTTGGAACAACTCCAAAAACCAAATTAAAGCGGTACAGGACCATGAGCCATCAGCAAGTCCAGTATCTCAGTGTGGCCTGAAGACCCACGGGGCACCACTCTTTCAGGGAGGCCCCGAGATCAACCCATTTTCCTAGTAACAACAGGACACTGCTGTCTTTTTCATTACAATGGCATTTGCACAATCGGTGCAGAAGCAGTGGTGAGTGATCTGCTTACCCTCTGCATGATCAAGGCTGTAGCGCCACTGTCTTCAGGGTCACTCTAGTCTTTACCGCCACATACTCACAAAGATAATCCAACTTTAAAATTATGAATTTTATCAATCTAAATATTGAAGTCCACTTGTTTTCAGTATTTGGTACTATTAAATGTGAGGTACACAAGAAGACTAAAAATCAACCATCCAAGCACGATGGCGGTCTGAAGGAAAAGCACTGTTCAACCACTTGAGTTTCAAGCTCAACTAGCCATTTTCATAGAAGACCGTTTTTATTAGAACAAATGGCTAATACGCCATGGTTTGGAGGCATAGATATCTAGTAGACATTTTCTGATCAGCACAGGAGTTCTGACCTGCTCCGTTTCTGACCAGGCCAGGTCACCCTGCCTCACGTATCGTGGTGGGCCCCCGCTCCGGGGAGGTCACCATACACTGACGCCAAACTGAGTGCAGACACCCAGGTAGCATAGCAGACTCCTGTCCAGAACCCCAGGCTTTAAGCAATCCTCCTGCCTCAGCCTCCAGAGTATCTGGGACTAACAGGTACTCGCCACCACAATGGCCCGGCAGACATTTTCTCAAAAGCAAACAGGACTCTCAAAAATTCACTGTGAGGGACGCCTGGGTGGCTCAGTTGGTTAAGTGTCTGACTCTTGATCTCAGCTCACGTCTTGATCTCAGGGTCGTGAGTTCAAGCCCTACACTGGGCTCCACGCTGGGCATGGAGCTTACTTAAAAAAAAAAAAAGGAATAAAAATTAAATGTCACTTCGAAGAAAGCTGAGTATTTGTTGCGAATGATTAAGTGAAAATTAGAATTCTGAAAAATACATACCTGCCATGAAAGCCTATCCTACAGGAATACTTATAATTATTTGAAAAGGCCATTAAGATACTCTTTCTGTTTCCAAATACATATGCAGGTCATGCCAAATTTTCTTAATATACTTAAATTAAAACAACATATATGCTGGAAAAGCAAGTATGAAAATCCAGCTGTATTCTAATAAGCCAGGCATTATAGATATTACTAATGTGTAACACCATACTTTTCAGTAGTATCTTTTGTTTTCCAGTCTATTTTTCATAAAATTGTTATGTTAACTTGCAATGGGTTTACTGTTATTTTTAAGTAAATTAGTTTTCTCAGTTTTAATTTACAATACAGGAAAATACTGACAAGCTCACAAACAAAAACTCTTTGAAGTCCTCAATGTAATTTTTAGGAGTGTAGGTATATCCTGAGACCAAAAAGTTTGACAACTGCTGACCTAGTCTAATCTTCTATTTGATGCTTGATTTCTGAACTGCAAATGTTACACATGATCTACAAGTCTGGATCACATCAATACTCTACTGAAAGGGAGCTCTCATCCTCTGTAAATTCACTGCTCTAATGTTACAGACAAAGCAAGCACTGTAAGTCACCAGCAACAATCACTCCTTTCCTCCAGGTTGACCCCACTAATGAAACTAGAAAACCACGTGTTTGTTTTCCCGGCATCACCTGTGGTACTTGGTGAGCACTGAGACCAATTCTGAACAATGAGGTAGAAGAGAAAAGACTGATGAGCGGCTTCTGGTTAAGCTTTTCATTCCAAGAAGAGCCCAAGAAGAAAAGGCCCCAGAAGTGCCCTTTCCAACATTCTTCCTATTTTGAATGGGGATATGAAGCCAGGGAACAAACCAGCCTTCCTGTGACCAGAAGAGAACACACGGAGACAGAACATGGACACGTAAAGAAGGTGGAACAAAACAGAAAAGCTAGGAACCTGATGATATACTTCAGCAGTGAAAAGAATGTTCGGGGGCGCCTGGGTGGCTGTTAGTTAAGCGTCTGCCTTTGGCTCAGGTCATGATCTCAGGGTCCTGGGATAGAGCCCCTGAGTTAGGCTCCCTGCTCAGCCCAAAGTCTGCTTCTCCCTCTCCTTCTGCCCCTTCCCCCCCAACTTGTGCATGCACGTGCACTCTCAAATAAATAAATAAAATCATTAAAAAGAAAAAATGTTGGAATTGCCAATCTGAAGACAGCCAGTTGAACAAAAAAACCAATGTCCTTCTGGTTTAATCTACTGCTAATTAGATTTTGTTCTCTGTAGGCAAAAGCATTCCTAAGAGATTAAACAGTAAACTTCCTCATTTAGTCCTAATTTAGCTCTCACATGCACATTCTACCCTCAAATACTAAGTAGTGTCACACAGTCTTCACTTTACCCAATGATTGTTCTATGACAAAAGACAAATGGTCCTTCTTCAGAAATGGATGATAAATATGGAACCCAATATTCTATACTTCTTACTCTCTAGGGCAAAAATAATTGCTAAGATTCACCTGTGTAAGTATTTGCAAGAGTCTCTAAGACATGAAGAAATCCAAAAAGCATTCAACAAGTTGACGGACAGATATCTTGAATTATCATTGGTTTACCAAAGTGTTCTGCTTTCAAGGACAAAACAGTATTTTCAGGGACAGAGGTCTTTATCTACTTCTCTGGAATCCTTTTGGGAAATACAGAGGTCGTACACTGTTCTCCAGTGCTCGTACAAGCACTGGAGAACACATCAACAATGACCAAGGTGGGCTAAGTTTAAAGAAAACTGGAATCTGAAGAAACATTCCACTTCAAAGGAACATCTGCTACTCAAGGTCAGCCAATTATTGCTATATGGGGATGAGGTGCCAGAATTGCCACATCTTCCAATTTTGGATGAAAAATTAGAAATCTACACTACTTTTCCAAAGTTCTAGTATTTGTTTCATATTGGCAAAGATTTAAAATAAACAAAACACAACCCAGGCCAAAAACCACATATCCAGGCTTGATCTTCCCTAGCCAGTACAACACTTCAAGGTATGATATTTAATGATGGCCCAAGAAAATTCTATTAAAACTCAATACGTGGTTCAAAAAACTTTAGGATTAATTCCAAAGGCATATTTCACTGCTCACACAACTGAAGCACCCATCTCCTGTGTGGTAATGGGGCTCTGCTATTAATGTGCTTACCTCCAGGAGCAAAAGGGTCTCCTGTTCAGTCCATTCTCTTCCAGCACTAGCACCTTTACTCTAAAGAAACAAAACCAGAAATTAGGTACTCGTTTCTAAAGGCTGAACATGGAGCTCAGCAGGAGTCCCTTCTATGTAGAGGGGGCTGTTTTATGCAAACCACCAAATAAGTCCCTGAGCAACAGGGATAAAACACTTAAGGACCCTCAACTTCCAACACAAAGACAGACTTATTTCTGAAGATTTCTTGCTGTCTATCAAGGACTCACAGACCATTCAGATATATTATTCCTATTATTCTGATATTTAAAAATACCTTTTGAAGCTACAAAGGCTACAATATTTTAATGCATACCATGAATTAGCTATGATATTATACATAATATAAATATTTGGTATAACTTGAAGGAAATACTTTTTCCAAGATTCAAAGACAAATTATACTACATATAAATCACTCTGAAGGATTCTTAATTCCAATTGCAACAAGTTCATATTCTCAATTTTAACACCTATAATCACCAACTGATTCCTTAAGCTTTAAATCACTCTTTCTATAAGAATCCCTTTAATTGCCAACTCACGTGAGCATGGGGGTAGAAGAAAGCCAACGCTGTTATGTAAAAATTAAGATTTGTGAATTGATTCATACGTCTTGAGTTGGTAGGCCCTGCTCCATTCATAGACTAGCAGAGGACTGGATGTGTGGTATACCTGACATTATTCTTCACGTGTAAATGTTACTAATTCAAAATATACATTCTACCATAGCCCTTCTCTGAAAACTCTATTTCGGGAGATCACAATTTAATAAATGAAGAGAAAATTTTTATGGTCTGTGATTTCCTTATTTGTGACAATAAAGCTTCTCTAGTTATTTGACTCAACCTTTCTGCATAACTGTGCTACATACTGTGGGTAAAAATTAAATTATGACTTGCTAGGTCTCCGTGGTATTCAATACATATCATTCTGAAATTTTTGCAAAAAATGTACTAAAAATAACTAGTCCTTTAACTACAGAATAAAGAGGAATCTAAGCATTGTAGAATTCAAGTCTCACAACATGACTCTGAGAAGAAAAAAATGCATATAGCTATAATTCATAACATATTGTTCAGATTCCTTAAGGATTACTTTACAACAACCAATGTTCATCTTTTAGTGAACCAACCTCAGAAGTGACCATCAATCAGATTTGGAGCTCAAAGAGAAACAAAATTCATTAACATTTCACCTGAATTCTAAAGAAGGCAAACCTGACTACAGAAAAGATCCTTATAACCTACACATGACAGCATTTACTGGGTACGTGCACAGCGAGCATTTCTCCACCTCTCAGCTATAAAGTATAGTTTTTCCTCTTGATAAAAACTGGTTCCGGGAAGAGTGCATAATCTCAACAGGGCCCATGAGATGTTTATGGGGGGTTTTGCATGATTTCAGAAATTTTTACGTTTGTATTTATTGGGGTAGAATGCATGTACCATAAAATACCCAAATCTGGGTGCCTGGGTGGCTCAGTTGGTTAAGTGACTGCCTTCGGCTCAGGTCATGATCCTGGAGTCCCGGGATCGAGTCCCGCATCGGGCTCCTTGCTCAGCGGGGCTTCTGCTTCTCCCTCTGACCCTCCCCCCTCTCATGTGCTCTCTCTCTCATTCTCTGTCAAATAAATAAATAAAATCTTTTAAAATAAAAAAAAATACCCAAATCTTCGCTGTACAATTAAACACAATTTCACATATACACCCATATAACAACCACTCAAAGCAACATCCAGGGGTCTCTCCTTTAAATCTCAAGTTGATAGCAATCCACATAAGTATACACTATTCTCAATTCTATAGTCATAGGTTAGTTTTTCCTGGATCTGAACTTTGTAAGTAAAACCATTCAGTATGAGTTTGTGGGTCTGGCTTAGTATTATGTCAATGACATTCAACCACACTCTTTACATGAAAGAAGTCAATTCTTTTCATTTCTGTGTTAATATTACATTATTTGAATAAACCACAATTTATCCATTATATGCTTGATTGATCACGTTTACAGTTTTTGGCTATCTTCGATAAGGCTGCTAAGGACATTCATGCATATTCCTGTATATATTCACTCTTTTTTTAAACTGATTTATCTTATTTATATAGCCAGGAGCTCAGTGACTGGGTGTGTTTTTATATATATACATATATATATATTTATATTTAGCTATAATAGTGTTCCCTCCACTTTTATTTCCTGGAAGAGTTTATATAGGTTGGTATTACTTCTTCCTTAAATGTTTGGTGCAGGGATGCCTGGATGGCTCAGTCGGTTGGGTGTCTGCCTTTGGCTCAGGTCATGATCCCAGGATTCTGGGATCAAGTCCCGCATTGGACTCCTTGCTCCACAGGGGGCTTGCTTCTCCCTCTGCCTGCTGCTCCCCCTGCCTGTGCTCGCTCTCTGACAAATAAATACATAAATAAATCTTAAAAGAAAAAGATTTTGATACAAAAGCATCAGTAGAATCATGTGGGCCTAGAGTTTTGTACTCATGAAGGTGCTGCACCATATACAGATATAACAGATACAAGGTTATTCCAACGCATTAGTTTCCTGTGGCTACTGTAATCACATTATCACAGATTTGATGGCCTAAAAGAACAAAAATTCATTCTCTCACAGCTCAGAAAGCTGGAAGTCCAAAATCAATACAACTGAGACGAAGATCACAGTGTTAGCAGGGCCGCACTCCCTCTGGATGCTCTCGGACAGAATTCATTCTACACCTCTTCTGTTTTCTGATGGCTGCCTCAGAACTCCTTGGTTTATAGCCACCTCATTTTAACCTATGCGCCCAAGGTCACACTGCCCTTTCCTTTATTCATGAGAGAGAGAGAGAGAGGCAGAGGGAGAGGGAGAAGCAGGCTCCCCACCGAGCAGGAAGCCAGATGCGGGACTCAATCCCAGGACCCTGGGATCATGACCTGAGCCAAAGGCAGACACTTTTAACTGACTGAGCCACCCAGGCACCCCGTTCTTTCCTGTTCTGTCTGCAAATCTCTCAGCATTCATTTCTTGTAAGAACATATAATCATAGGGGTGCCTGGGTGGCTCAGTTAGTTAAGCCTCCGACTCTTGATTTCAGCTCAGGTTATGACGATCTTAGGGTGGTGAGATCGAGCCCCATGTCAGGCTCTACACTGGGCGAGAAACCTGCTTAAGATTCTCTCTCTCCCTCTCTCTCTTTTCTGATCCGTAATTTGTGTCCTCTCTTTTCTTCTTGACAACTCTTTCAGAGGCTTATCAAATTTATCGATCCTTTCCAATAACCACCTCCTTATTTCATTAATTTTCTATTGTTTTTCTGGTTTTGATCTCTAGCTTAATTTTGTTACGGTTAGCCAACCACATTTATATCACATGTATGAAATCATACAACCACATTTTATAGTATCACTCCTTTAAAATTTCTTGAGACCCATTTTATGCCTCAGAACTGATTGGTAAGTGTTCCCCAAGAACTTTTTAAGAATGTGTTTTCAGGGCACCTGAGTGGCTTAGTTGGTTAACCGTCTGCCTTCAGCTCACATCATGATCTCAGGGTCCTGGGATCGAGCCCCACATCAGACTCTCTGCTCAGTGGGGAGGCTTTCTCCAACACCCCCCGCCCCCACTCAATCTCTCTCTCTCAAATAAATAAAACCTTAAAAAAAATGCTTTTACTGTTATTTTGCATAGAGCCTTCTATACACCAAATAGGTCATATTGGTTCAGAGTGTTGGTCTAAGTCTTCTCTTACTTTCAATCTACTTGTTGTATCAATTACTGAGAATAGATTACTGAAATTTCCAAGTATAATTGTGTGTCTGCCTATTGCTCCTTTCTATTCTATCAGATTTTGCTTTATATATTTTGAAGTTTTTTAATTAACTGTACACATATTTAGGACAATTATGACTTTTTTAAAAAAAGATTTTATTTAACTATTTGACAGACAAGAGAGAGACACCGAGAGAGGGAACACAAGCAGGGAGAATGGGAGAGGGAGAAGCAGACTCCCTGCTGAGCAGGGAGCCCAATGTGGGGCTCGATCCCAGGACCCCGGGATCATGACCTGAGCCGAAGGCAGAGCTTAACGACTGAGCCACCCAGGCGCCCCCAATTATATCCTTTTGATTAACTCCTTTATCATTATGAAATGCCCACAGTTTAATTCTGGTAAAATAACTTGTCCTAATGTCTACTTTTGCTAAAATTAACACAATGACTCTGGTGTTCTTTTTTTTTTTTTTTAAGATTTTTATTTATTTGACAGAGGGAGACACAGCGAGAGAGGGAACACAAGCAGGGGGAGTGGGAGAAGGAGAAGCAGGCCTCCCACGGAGCAGGGAGCCTGATGCGGGGCCCGATCCCAGGACCCCAGGATCACGACCCGAGCCGAAGGCAGACGCTTAACGACTGAGCCACCCAGGCGCCCCGACTCTGGTGTTCTTTTGATTAATGTTTAGAAGGTATGTCTTTTGTCATTCTTTTATTTTTATATTTCACGTGGATTTCTTATAGACAATATATGCTTATACTTAGTTTTTTATGCAATTTGACAATCTCTGCTGCTTAATGGGATTACAACCACTTACACTTAATGTTATTGCTATCCCCGTGGACATATGTACACCTATCATCTTGCTATTTTCTACTTGGCACATCTATCCCCTGCCTTTCTCACTCCTTCTCTCTTACTGAGTCTTTTTTGGAGTCTTATTGTTTTTATCTCCATCATTAACTTTTTAGTTGCGGGTCTTTAAATACTCTTATGATTCACAATACTCCCGTCTAACTTGCCACGGTGCATCTTCAAATACTACGTTACACATCCTATCTAGTAGAGGAACTGTAACACAGTGCACTTCCAGTTTCCTCTCCTGTGCCTTTAGCCCCGCTTGCTCTTTAACATTCTCATGTTGAAAACCTACCATTCTTAGTTTGAATAGCCTACTACCCTCTCATACAACTACAAATGAGGAAAAAACCTCTCCTCACGGACTCAGGTGTTGACCTCTTCTGGCATTCATCCTCCTTCCTCCGCACAGATCCAGGCCTCTTCCAAAACGCTGTGCCCAAGTATTAGTCTAACCTGAATCAGCATTTTGATCACATTTCTAAAAGATACCAGGACTTTAACTCCATCTAATTGTCTCTTCTCTGCCATTTTGGTCCTTGCTACATGCCATAAACCCCCGAAAATCATCACTGCTTCAACAGTCCACATCCCTTTATACTTAACCACACATTCACCCTTTGCCCTGGACCGCTTCCTTCCTAGTCACGTGCGTCCATCAGGGATCAGAGTCCTTCATCCTGAAAACCTTCCCTCGGTTTTCCTACCTACACTGTGTGCTAGTGATGCCCTCACACCTTCTCAATGTCCTTATTGCCCTTCCCCTCCTGAAGGTACTTCTACTGGAAACACAACTCCAGAACAACAGCTTCACTTTCAGCTCTTTAAAATGTTTTTATGCTATCCACTCTGGCTTCTGTCATTTCTGTTGAAAAGTCAGGCATCAGTTTTATGATTGTTCCTTTGAATTTAATGTGTCCTTCTCCAACCCCACTCACCCCCCACAATGTGGCTTTTTTTAAGGTAAGTTTAAGCATGAATGTGCCTGAATGTGGTTTCCTCTGTATCCAAATTTGGATCTGTTCAGACTCTTATGAGTTGGTATGTTTTTTTTAAATCAAAAATGTTTAGCCATTACATCTTCAAGTATCACTTTTGCTTCATTCTTTCTCTTCCTACAGATCTCTAATGATAAACATGAATTCTTCTTACAGTAGCTCACATGTCCCTTGTGCCCCATTCCCTTTGTCCCCCTCCCTCACCCTCAACCAATTTCTTTTTCTCTTGGTGCTTCAGTTTTAATATATCTACTATCCTGTCTGAGCTCACTAATCCTGTCTTCTGTTGTGTTCAGCCTGCTGCTAAAACCATCCAATGAGTTAATTTCAGGCATATTTTTCAATTATACAATATTCATTTGATTGTTCCTATAGATTTCAATTATGTTGAAATTCTCCACTTTTCCTTGTTTTAACATATTAACCAGTTACTTTAAAATACCTATATTCTAACCATACAGAAGAAATGGTAAGAGAAGTGATTGTTGTTTTATAAAATGCCAACAGGTTAAGTAGAATGAGCATATTCTTACACTACACAAAGAAATCTTCTTATGAAAAATAACACTTCTTAGAAGAAGAAATAAGAGGACATGCTGGATTGCAGCCCAGCTGTGCCTAGAAAAAAGTCCTTACCTTTGCTAAGGTTTTCTTGGAGTAAATGTCAGTACGAAGACCAAAGTTCTGCAGATCAATTGGTTTTTCCTTGTTCTTCTCAGGAAAATTTAACATCTGCTGAGCAGCAGGGACCTAGGAGTTGGAAAAATGATAAATGGCTGTATTCACCTCTACAAAGTCAAGGAGAGAGAAGTTTTGTTTAACACTGATATATAAGGAGATTTAAAAAAATAAATACCCACACCTTCACTCTATACTTCCAACATTTCAACATACTGTATAAGCAACATTTTTCTGCCTTTTTTAAATCCCAGAGAAAAGAGATAACAAATTTTCTTTAATGTGCTCTCCCATTTCATGTGAAGAACAATTTATACCTTACTCATGTTATTTTAACTTAAGGCTATATAAAATCTGGTTGACATACTAATCTTTTCAAGAATATGTGTATGGATGTCCACTTTCCAAATGTTAGAAAGGGGAACAAGTTTCACACAATCAGTGTATAGTGGAATAATACCTAATATTAGTTTATTAGTGTAATAATTACTAATGCCAGAATTATATTAGTGTAATAAGTTACCTGAGGTGATCGAAGATGTAGAGGCACAAGCCCAGAGGGGGTATCAGCTAATACATTAAAATGAGGAGTAGGAGGAGGTCCCATTGCCATGGGTCGACTTTCTGGATCCACTTGGTAATTAACAAGCCCCCATTGCTCTAAAAAGGCATGAACCCTGGAAGAATAAAGCTCTGAAAGTTAAAATCTAGAGAATGTACCCCATCTCCTTGGTAACCATCATTACATTTCATTAAAACATAAGAACAATAAAACAAGTAAATGTTCTCTGTAGGCTATAAGCCATCACAAAGTTAACTGACAAGTCTGGCTTGTTGTATGAGGGACAATTTCTATAAACTCAATGTTCACAGCACAGCACCCCAAACCCTAGTACAAAGCCTAATTATTTCAATCACAGAAATAAGAAATGTTCATTTAAGTCCATAGTGAAAGAACTCACACACAGACCAAATTCAAAGAAGGAGATTCACATTTGATTTGATTCTTCAGACAGATCTAGTGTACGAGCTTATCCACTCTTCATCCTTGGTCATTTCATGATTTCATTATATAATAAAAGATGTCAATTATAAAATCTTAAAACGAGGAGAAAACGCCAAGGTATTAAATACATTCAACCCCTAAATGAAAGACATGTGACTAAGGTATTTTATTAACAAAGAAAATATTGAGTTTAATCAATCAAACATTGAACAGCAGTGCATCAGTAACCACCTGAAGTGAAGCGTCTGAGAAAAAGTCAGGCGTTTTACCTCATCACAGCACACACGTCTCCAGTCAAGTTCCTCCGACAAGCAGTGCTGGTTAAATATTCTTGGGGGTTTAGGCGATATGTGTCAATCATAAAATTTCGATATGCCAAGTATCTAAAAAGCAGTGGCAAAATTCATAAGGTGGACACACATCCTTTCAGAAATAACTCATAGAGCCAAAAATCATATTCCTCACAACCAAATCCAACAAAAAGTTAATATTCCAACCAACACCAGTACTGAGTATTTACAGTCACGAATGTAACCAAGGATAAGAACCACTAATATGCAAAACAACTATTTACTAATCTTTAACAACAGTAAGTAAAATGGAGTAAAATCTGATGAAGTTAATGTGAAGTAACACAGAGAACCTGGCTGGCTCAGTTGGTAGAGCATGCAACTCTTGATCTTGGGGACGTGAGTTTGAGATCCACTCTGGGCACAGAGTTTACATTAAAAATAATAATAACTATAATAACAGTAATAATGTGAACTAACATAAATACAAAACTGATCACAGGAGTGAATGGATAAATCCTTAGTTCCCTGCAGAATTTGCAAGTAACACCTGGTTACTTAAGATGCTGTCTCCCTAATTATTGTGTATCCAGCCATAATTCATTTAAACCTCACAATTTCTCCATAAGGTAGGGTGTACTATCATCTCATTTATCAGTGAGCAAACTAAAGCACAGAGCGATTAAAGAATGTGTCCTAGACCACAAGTCTGGTTAAGTGTGGAGCTAGAATTCAACACAGTGCGGGGCCGGGCGGGGGGTGGTTGCTCTGGAATCTATGCTCTTAACACATGCTGCATCTCATTTCTAGATTCTTCCTAAAGCCACATGTGGATCTGGCTCCAACAATGGCTATATACCCAGCTAGGTGAGGACTAGAACCCATGAGGCCAAAATCAAAGTTAAGACAACAACAGATTTAAAAAAGGAGAGAAAAACTGAAATTCTGAGTCACAGCAGATTTCACAACATACCCAAGCATTTCTGCAACAAAATATTTAAAACAAGAGTGTTGAGAAACTAGAGACCCAGCAAAAGTTCTTGCCACAAAAGTAAAACAGAAATCTGGCAGGTTAAGTAAGGGTAGCCACATCAGAGTAGAAAAGGTACACTGCTCAAAAAAGGTCTTATATAAGCAAAAGTGGATTAACAAAGACCTAAAGGTAAATTTTTTTTTTTTTTTAAGATTTTTATTTATTTGCGACAGAGAGAATGAGAGACAGAGAGCGTGAGAAGGAGGACGGTCAGAGGGAGAAGCAGACTCCCTGCTGAGCAGGGAGCCCGATGTGGGACTCGATCCCAGGACTCCAGGATCATGACCTGAGCCGAAGGCAGTCGCTTTAACCAACTGAGCCACCCAGGTGCCCCTAAAGGTAAATTTTTAAATTTAAGCTGACTAAAATGCTAAACTGTGCTTGTAAACAGACGACTGCCAAGAACTGTTAAGTATTTACAAATGCTGGCAATCGGCACGTTAGCTAGAATATACCATGTCTAACTAGATGGAAAACCTAAAAGGGTTTCTTATGCCAACTCTCTGATTGTGGTTTTTATTTTTTTATTTTTTTTAAGATTTTATTTATTTATTTGACTGAGAGAGGGAACACAAGTAGGGAGAGCGGGAGAGGGAGAAGCAGACTCTCCACTGAGCAGGGAGCCCGGTGCGGGGCTCAATCCCAGGACCCTGGGACCATGACCCAAGCCGAAGGCAGACACTTAACGACTGAGCCACCCAGGCATCCCTCTGATTGTGGTTTTAAATGAAACCTTACAGCTTTGTCAAGAAAGGCTGGAATTATCTCTGACATCTAAACTTAAAATCTCAAACTATCATGGACAATCTATTACAAGAAAATATTTATTATTCAATTATCTGTATTCTAACATGTTTTATGTAGAAAATGATACTTCTCTAACAACTTAAACAGGAGACATTTATTTGTGAAGCCACATGAGCATAACAAACAATGAATTAATAGTAGAAAGATAATATACGGAAAAGTATTTATAGTACGATAGGTGTGGATTTATTTTAGGGGAAAGGGTTTCCAGAAATGTATATTTAAGGGTCACCAGGCAAAGGCAAAAATTCTTCCTGACAAGATTCTTCCAAGTTTTTGTATTTCCAAGGCAAAAGCACAACAATGCTTTATGTAATGAAGATCAATTTATAGGCAGCTATGTCTTCATATTTGGCATTCTTTCAATTACTAGTCATTCATCATCAAAATAAGATAAAGATTCCACTTTCTCCTAGATTATTATATGTAAATATATATAATCTATAACACATATGTACACACAAGGCGGGAACTGTCAGGCAGAAACCTGAATCCATTTTAGTGAATGCCTGTTACCAAACTCAATCTTAGCTGTAAGAGCTGACATGCATATAGTTCAAGGTTGTAGGTTCAAGATGCAAATGAAAGAAAAAGTCAATACCTTTTTAAAGGAACAATTTCCTTTACAGCAAGGAATTCTATGTGGCTGAGATATGCACCCTTTTCTGAATGGAATAACACATTTGCAAACTTCCACACATTACCAAAAATGATCTCAGAAGTATCCTTTTAAAAACCCCTGCTCAACACATTCAAATGAACAATTTTTCTAGACACTGGCCCCTTTCTAAAGTAATTAATGGTATCAGGATTACATCTTCACATTTCACTTACATTTCTGGAGTCTTGGATTTGTTCTTTCCATTGAAAAACTCAGGAAGAGCACGCCGTTCAATCACGTGAATACTGGGGAATAAAAAATAAAAAGTCCTCTTAGAAAAATGAAATCTTGAAATTTAAGCTAAGTTTAATTTTCAAAGTAAAACTGAAATCCAAAAACTCAACATTCTTTTCTTTTCTTTTTTAAGATTTTATTTATTTAACAGAGAGAGGGAACATAAGCTGGGGAGGCAGGGAGAGGGATAGGCAGGCTTCCCGCTGAGCAGGGAGCCCGATGCGTAGCTCGATCCCAGGACCCTGAGATCATGACCTGAGTCGAAGGCAGACGCTTAATGACTGAGCCATCCAGGCGCCCCCTGAACATTATTTTCAAAAATTAATTGGCTTGCACAAGTTCCTATGCATTAAAAGCATATTATAAAGAAAGTTTTCCCTCTCTCACCCTTAAGACTTAATTGTAGGGGCACCTGGGTGGCTCAGTCGTTAGGTGTCTGCCTTCGGGTCAGGTCATGATCCCAGAGTCCTGGAATCGAGCCCCGCATTGGGCACCCTGCTAGGCAGGAAGCCTGCTTCTCCCTCTCCCACTCCCCCTGCTTGTGTTCCCTCTCTCGCTGTGTCTCTGTCAAATAAATAAAATCTTAAAAAAAAAAGACTTAATTGTAGTTTTTCTATTCCCATACCCAAACTCAAAAACTTCTATCAACACATTGAAAGCTATCTATTTTATTATGTTCTTGACATAACACATCACAAGTAGATGATGAGCCACAAAATACAAAGAGCTCCTTTGTATGAAAATGGACAGACATCACAGCAGCTGGCATGGCAACAAACTGATGAAGTGAACGACCAACCAAGACAATGGAATTTACAATCATCAGTTTCTCAGGCTCTTAACATCAATGTGCCCTTTTGTCCAGACCTCAGAAACTTTGTGCTGAACTGAATTTTTTTAATTTCAGTAATCTACTGCCTTTAAAAAGATTATAGAACTAATTTTCAATATTGAGATATAGGCACTGGTAATTTTTTTTTACTTTTTTTTATTATGTTATGTTAATCACCATATATTACATCATTAGTTTTTGATGTAGTGTTCCATGATTCATTGTTTGCATAGAACACCCAGTGCTCCATGCAGAACGTGCCCTCTTTAATACCCATCACCAGGCTAACCCATCCCCCCACGCCCTCCCCTCCAGAACCCCTAGTTTGTTTCTCAGAGTCCATAGTCTCTCATGGTTCGTCTCCCCCTCCGATTTCCCCCCCTTCATTCTTCTCCTCCTGCTATCTTTTTTTTTTTTAACATATACTGTATTGTTTCAGAGGTACAGGTCTGTGATTCAACAGTCTTACACAATTCACAGCACTCACCATAGCACATACCCTCCCCAATGTCCATCACCCAGCCACCCCATCCCTTCCACCCCTCACCACTCCAGCAACCCTGTTTGTTTCCTGAGATTAAGAATTCCTCATATCATATCAGTGAGGTCATATGATACATGTCTTTCTCTGATTGACTTATTTTGCTCAGCATAATACCCTCCAGTTCCACCCACAAGGCACTGATAATTTTATAAAATCTTTTTTTTTTTTAAAGATTTTATTTATTTATTTGAGAGAGAGAGAGTGAGAGAGAGCGAGTACATGAGAGGGGGGAGGGTCAGAGGGAGAAGCAGACTCCCTGCCGAGCAGGAAGCCCGATGCGGGACTCGATCCAGGGACTCCAGGATCATGACCTGAGCCGAAGGCAGTCGCTTAACCAACTGAGCCACCCAGGCGCCCAATTTTATAAAATCTTAACAGGTGATAAGCACTATAGAGACCAGATAAAACTCAGGCCTAATGCACTATACAAATGACCCAACTGTGTATCTAGTACAAAGGTTTTGACACTAATACTAATCAATGTTTTTACTGATGATGACACTTTCTAGTTTCTCAGTGGCTTTCCACATATGCAACATGTACTCGTTATGCAGGGAAGAGCAAATCAATAATCTGTGAATGTAACTATAGGCATCGTCTGGCTGGCTTAGTCAGCAGAGCATGTGACTCTTGATCTCGGGGTCCTGATTTCTACCCCCCCCCCCCCGCCCGCCGTTGGGCACAAAAAAAAAAGCATTCACTCTTACATCATTTGTTGTATCAATTTATGTCAAACATTAAATTGTTTGAACAGGATCTGTACTGCCAAATACAATAAATATAATGAATTACCTGAAAACTTCTAGGAAGATAATTTCTAAGATGAATTAATGCTATATAGTTACATGTAATGACTTTCCAAGTTTTACTATAAAAATAGCTGTAAGCAATTAATTATATAGTTCAAATATACCTCTCATTGTTTTATTGTTAAAGGTTAGGAAGCCCACAAAAAACACAATTTCTGTATTCACCAAGAACAAAACATACATGAATGTTTAACCCCAAGCACTTTTCTGAATTGCTGGCAGCTGATTCCTTAGGTTCTGAGAATGAGTCTGGAAGTGGGGTGGTCAGAATCAGAAAACTTGAGTTCTTCCAGTTGTCCACTGCAACAGTGGAACACTTCCACTGACACAGTACTAGTCTTTATCTATAAAATAGGGATGTGACTTACACCTCCACTGTCCGTAAGAGCAAGAGCAAGCTATGTGACATGCAGTGGTCATGATGCAAATGAGTGTTTCTGCAACCTATAAAAACCTGCCAAGTTATATACTGTTATGACTACTTATTTTAATTTTAGAGGAAAAGAACGCTAGTTTCTCTGGTGTGTCCTATTAAACCATTCTGAACCCACACATGTAATCACAATTACCAACAGTGAGACTTAGACACTTCCAAATTTAAAAATACATCATCAATGTAATGAAGACTGACCTTCAAAGAAGAGCTATATACTTACTCTGTCCCAGGTTCTATTTATTCAAAACATTTAGGAACAGCATTCAGAGTTGATCTTAAAGGCATGCAGAAAAGTCTCAGTATTACTGTCATACTTTGTGGGTTTTGGAAAAAAATTAGGTATAGTTCCAAGTGAATCATCCACCCTATTCTTTTAAACTGGCTTCTAAAGAATATATATATATATATTCTTTATATATATACACGTATAAAGATGCATATATGTATAAAGACACACATACATAAAATCACATTTATCTTTAAAGAATGATAATGTGTAACAATTGAGAGCAAGCAATAGATCCAAATAAGACCACAGGATTCCAAGTAAGGGCAACATCACTAGAGTTAAGTGTACAACTTTCCAATGAAAGTACCTTAAAGAAGCTAACTATTTGGAGGGGTAAGTTCTGGTACATATGTTTAAAAATAAAAAGCCAAATAAAAATCAGCTTGATACAAAATAATCACACTTTGTAAGTACTCAACAAATAATATATCTAGGACGGCGCTCCAATGATGCCAAACGGTTGTGGTAAATGACAGGGAAGATGCTGAGGAAGGTGTTTTCCTGAACTTTTTTTTTTTTTTTGGTAAAGATTTATTTATTTATTTATTTGAGAAAGAGCTAGAGAGAGAAAAGGCTCCCTCCTCTGCAGGGAGCCTGATTGCAGGGCTTGATCCCAGGACTCCCAGGGATCGCTTAACTGACCAAGCCACCCAGGCACCTCATTCTTGAACTTTTTGTATGTGAAAAGCCTCTTAATGTTAAAAATATTTCCTACTGGGGCACCTGGCTGGCTCAGTCAGTAAAGCATGTGACCCTTGATCTCAGGGTCATGAGTTCAAGCCCCATACTGCGTGTAGAACTCACTTAAAAAAAAATTCCTATTAAAATGAAGCCATTACTAGGTAGTGAGAAGAGTTCTTTTTAAAATTTACTTTTTTTGGGTGCCTTGGGTGGCTCAGTCGTTGTCTGCCTTCGGCTCAGGTCGTGATCCCAGGGTCCTGGGATCGAGCCCCACACTGGGCTCCTTGCTCCACGGGAGCCTGCTTCTCCCTCTCCCACTCCCCCTGCTTGCTTATGTTCCCTCTCTCGCTGTGTCTCTGTCAAATAAATAAATAAAATCTTTAAAAAATAAATAAATAAAAATAATAAAAGAAAATAAGATTTACTTCTTTAATGTGTTGTTGTTTTTTTTTTAAGATTTTATTTATTTATTTGACAGAGACACAGCGAGAGAGGGAACACAAAGCAGGGGGAGAGGGAGAGGGAGAAGCAAGCTCTCCGCTGAGCAGGGAGTCCACTGAGGGGCTCCATTCCAGACCAGGCCCCTGGGACCACGACCTGAGCCGAAGGCAGACGCTTAATGACTGAGCCACCCAGGAGCCCCCTAATGTGGTTTTTTTAAAGATTCTTTTTTGGGGGGGGCGCCTGGGTGGCTCAGTCATTAAGCGTCTGCCTTCAGGTCAGGTCATGATCCCAGGATCCTGGGGTCGAGCCCTACATGGGGCTCCCTGCTCAGCGGGAAGACTGCTTCTCCCTCTCCTGCTCCCCCTGCTTGTGTTCCCTCTCTCGCTGTGTCTCTTTATCAAATAAATAAATAAAATCTTTTAAAAAAAAAAAATTTTTTTTTTTTTTTAAATTTTTCAGTTATCCTGATATCCAGTGTGAGGCTTGAACTTACAACCCTGTGATCAAGAGTCTCATGCTCCACCAACTGAGCCAGCCAGGCACCCCTAATATTTTAAAATCATATTATAATGTTTTAAAATTATTAAATACTCAATTATTTGCCCATCTGAACTGTAACTGATTCTAAATGAGTTAAGTCTAAGCTGACAAAATTTTACAATCCCTAGGTACAACACAACTTAGCTGCAATCCCTAAATTGCTCTGAAGAACACATTCCAAAGTGAAAATAAAATCACTTTCCATCTCCCTTCATCCAATCTGACAGTGATTAGCGACAAAGGGATTTGGGCAGGGAAGTTCTTCCACACCTAAGTACCGTACTCACAGGTGTACATGGCCCACTCACCAGTTATAATCAAACCATGATGCATAACTAGGAATAATAATGTGATTGGTCTGCTCTGTCACATTATCTTCTCCAGGGTCAAGTGAGCGACTCTGATCACCTTTGCTAGGATCTTCATCTTCCTATAGAAAAGAAGCCAGAGTTTAGAGAAACAGAGAACTGCAGAGACATAAATAACAGCTTTCAAACTTCTCATATTAGGGCACAAAATGAAGCTATCTGATCCAATTTCAAGGCTCAGAAAAACAAATTTCAAATAAAAACAGCCTTTTCAGTTTTTAAAGTACCTTCATAAGATGTCCAGATGATATAGCAGATTCCTCCCTTTTACAGATGAGGGAATCAACTCAGAGAAGGCCCAGAACTTTTCCCACAACAGCTTGCTTCTTACTTGGCCAGTTTTATCTAATCCTAGGGTCACAAATCTAAATTACTAGTTCTCAAGTTATTTATAAGAAGGTGACTAAAGGACACTAATGAGGCATAATGACACGCCTTCCCCTACCCCAAAGATTGATCAGTAAGTATCTGCTAGTGGCCGTATGCACCTTATCTCATTCATTCCTCACAATAAACAGCAGGTATTATCACCTCTTTTATGGATGAGAAAATGATGCACAGAGCCGGTAAGTTGTAAACAGGGTATAACTCCAGAAAACCCAGTTTGAGGGCCTAGACTCTCAATCACTTTCACTACTATAAGCTCTGATTTTTATCAGATTTATGGAGGTTTTACAAATGATTCCACCTAAAAACCTTGCCTGGCTAAAACAGTAATTTCAAAATCATTGCTTTGGGTCAAAACCCAAGAACATTTCTTATGCTACCAGTAAAGAGTAATAATAATTACTTTTAAATAAAAGTATCATGTAATACACAGTTTACATTCAAATGTTTCCAATTAACCCAGAAATGCCCTTTATACATTTTTCTCCCCAAACCAGAACCTGATCAAGGAATCCACATTATATGATACATCTCTTTAGCTTCCTTTAATCCCTGCCTCCCTTTGAGGGGGGTACTTTATGACATTCAAATGTTTCAAAATTCCAGGCCAAATTACTTATGCAATATCTAACAATCTCTATTTATCTTACTGATTCTTCATAATTAACTTCCGATCAAACATTTTTATGAAGAATACCACAGGAAGTAAGTTTTTTGACATTCAGATGTTTTCCCATTTTCTATTATACCATTATATCTATCAAGCTTTCATCTGTGGTGTTTTACTGTCTTTATTCTTATGAAATTTTTTTCTATTAAGAACCAGTCAAATTTTGAATCATACTCTTTCATACTGGCTCCATAGTTTAATTTCTACCTTTTAAGTTAATTCATCATAAATGTCCTGTGCTACAGTATTTGAAGTGAGGATCTACTGTTACTGCCTAGAAACTTAAGACAATAATTTCCTTAAGATCAATGAATATAGAAAAAAATGTAATGTATGAAAGCCCCAAGGAAACTCTGGTTGTTAATTAAATGATGCTGAAACAATTTTGATGACAAAGGTAAGAAATGTTATTTCCCAAATCAGGGGAGCTAGTAAAAAAATATGCTCATGGTTAATGAGTTTTTGAGATGTAGATTTCACAGACTCAATTATAACACAAAAAATTTCCTTTATTCAGGAAAACCAGGGAGAGACTGGCACTGCGATTAAAAAAAGCCAATAGTCTATGATTTAATTATCAGAATGAGGGGGAACGCATGGGATGACATTATGGGACCAGCTGTTAAGAGTGACTACTTCTAACCAGTTTTGGGTTCAATTTTACAACAGACTTGGCCTTAGTTTCAAGATACCCCCAGCCACTGTCATAAAAAAAAAAAAAATCTACATGTCGACTGTCTGGCTTTTTATTTCGGTCTCTTTCACTACCACACAATAGTATTTACACTAAATGATGACATCTTTTTACAAATATAACATCTGTTAATGGTTCCTAAGTAGCTCTCTAGACTTCTTTAAAAGAAGTCTAATTTTAAAGAAAAAAATCATAGGGGCGCCTGGCTGGCTCAGTCAGTGGAGTGTATGACTCTTGATCTTGGGATTGTGAGTTCGAGCCCCACACTGGGTGTAGAGTTTACTTAAAAATAAAATCTTTAGGGCGCCTGGGTGGCTCAGTCAGTTAAGTGTCCGACTCTTGGTTTCAGTTCAGGTCATGATCTCATGAGTCCTGAGATGAAGCCCCACACTGAACTCTGCGCTTAGTGGGGAGTCAGCTTGAAGATTCTCTCCCGCTGTCCCTCCCCCCAACTTGCGCATGCACGGTCATGCACGCTCTCTCTAAAAAAAAAAAAACCAAAGCTTTAAAAGATAAAATAAAATCTTATAAAAAAAGGAATCATAAGAACAATTCAGTTAAAGAGCCTTATGTAGATGAGTTTCTTGAACATTTTCAGGGAAATCCTATCATAAGTAGATTCATTCCTTGAATGTATAAAAAAAAATACAGTAAATGTCAATTTGGGGGATTTCTCTAACTCAGTGAAAAAGAACTATCCATTTTCAGCAAAGTAAGGGAGTTATTTCAAGGGGATTGTTATTTCAAGGAGTAGGGATTAGTTACACCTAACTAATAACACAAATAAGACAGTTTGAATGAACAATCCAACACCTTCAACATCATTATTGCTATGTCTCTACCACAGGACTGATGAAACAGGAAGGTGCTGTGAGGGCTCAAAAAAGGTTAAGAGTATGCTCAAAGACTGTGGGCTGGAGTTGTACCCACAGAAATAGAAGTGAGAAAATCAAGGCAATCGACATGGTCCCTGCTTACCTGTCCTGTGAGAGGACACTTGGAACACTGCAGTCAGCTCTGATTACTACCTTGCAACCAGGGGATGACAGAACCAGAAATTATAGCGTAAGAGGAACACTTCATGAGGAGATAGAAATCTCCTCTCAATAAAACTTTGAGAGTCAAGAAAGACAAATTATTTCAGGGGTGTGTTAAAAAAAAAATCAGAATGGCCTCAAAACTAAACATTTCTAAGGACACTTCTAACCCGTGTTCCTACGGTTCCATACACAGGACCCCTCAGACAGCCACTTGTGCACCAGGCCTAACTAAATTGTTACCTTTCCTCCTGTTGTGACTGTTTCTTCATCCTGCTCATCTGTAAAATCAAAATATATGATTTATTTAAAAATCAAGTAAACACTCTTTGGATTACTTGAAAACTTCCAGGTAATTTTAAAAACTTAAATTGTTACATGCAGAGAAAAGGAAAGAAATAAAGCATTACGAAAGCAAATCCACCTCTAGTAATTCAGTAAATTGAAATCGTACACAGAAGCACAAAGGTGAGTAGAACTTCAAAGCATTAATAATTAAAAATTTCCAACAACAGGGAATTTATAATTAATTACTGCTTGGGCTACTATCTTAGTGATGATCTTGCTAATAACAGGTAAAGGACTTGATTGGGGCTCTTACTCCTGAGATTTGATGAAACAAAGTAATGACATTTTAGATCTCAGAGGACATGAGTGAAGGAAATGAGGAGAAAAGAAAAGAAGTGAACATCAATCACTATGAAGTCCTGGTAAGGCTGTTAATATATTCTGAGGATAGAGGACTCCAGGACATAAATGCTGGCCTTGCAAAAGAACAGGAGTAAACCCAAGTATAACTTAAACCAGGCAGCTGATTTCCACAGCGAAAAGTGCCTGTGTGGACAATTGTTTATTGTCCTCCCTTTATTGAATGAAGGCTGCGTTTGCATTACAATGGCAAAGTTGATTAACTGAGACAGAGACCATATGGCCCACAATGTCTAAAATATTTACTACCTGGCCCTTTCCAGGTTAAGTCCGCCAACCTCTATTTTAGAGAATATACAAAGATCAGTAGTAGACAAACAGGTGGTACTCAAACTTTCAACTGTATTTCATACAGTGCCTCTACTACATGCTGGCCATGGTCCCAATGCCAAGGACACAATAAAGAACAAGAAAAGGTCCCATCTTCACGGAGTTTACATTCCAGTTAGGAGTGGCAGGAGACAGAAGAGAAAACACACGAACAGGTATCAGATGGTATCAGAGGAAAATAAATCAATATATTTTAGAGAGGCGCTGGGTGGGTGGACCCTTCCAAATAAAGAGGTAACCAGCCTGGTCAAAGGGCCATAGGTGGGGGTGGACCTGCCGCCGTCAGAGATCTCCAAGGCCACTCTGAGCATGAATAAAGGCTGGGAGAAATGAGCACAGCACAAGAGAAGAGCACAGCACAAGAGAAGAGCACAGCACAAAAGTTAGACAGACCCAGACCTGAGTCACTGCTCTGTCGCTTAATAGCTATCTGCTTGGAAACACTACTGAAACCCTCCAGCCTCCATCTCCTCAGCAATGACACAGGGCTAACATGGTTTTGCAGTGAAATGCAAACAAAGGTAGAATGAGTACCTGGCAGGTACTCATGCAAAACAGAGATGGACACTGTTGCTTGATTTCTAAGTTAGACAAACACCTGCTAGCACGAATATGGGATTCACTGTGTGGTAAATAAATTATGGTCATCCAGCTCTACACAGCGACTACTTTTATTCTAGGAAGTGACGAAGGGATCTAAATAAGGTTATCAAAAATGAACTTTTTGTCCTCTGGATCTTGATAAACCACACGATAAACAATTTCTCACTAGATGGTGGGAACACAACCTAATGATCTCTCTCTGTTCAAAATATATACCATTTAAATTTAGTTTGACAGATTTCTGTCCCTGACGTAGTCGGTACCCGATGGAAACAGACTTCTGATAATACTAAAGTAGGAGGGAGAGATATCCTGCTTACTGATTCCTAAACAGTAGTAATAAATGTTCTCTTCCTCCTTCCAGATGTGGGCAATCACACTTTCACCTCAGCCCCTGGATCTTGCCCTTTCAGAGAGCTCAAGACAGAAAGGAAGGAAGGACTCGGTATTATGTAGCTAGGTGACGTATAAGGCATAATATGGACCAGTTAAAACAATAAACAACTCTGTGAACAGGAAGTCCCAGTTGATGGATCAGTTACCCCTGGCATGGTTCAGGTTATACCTAATGCAGGAAGCCAGATGATTAAATAATACATGGAAAGCCCATTGGTCCCTGGATGAGAGGCCAGGACAACAGTTTCAAATTCCATTTGACTCTAGCTCTCCAGCTGTGATGACCAGCACCTTCGGCCACAATACCCTTACTATTTAGACCTCAAACCATTCACAAACACAAAGGGAAGATCTCTTATACCCAGCACTAAAAATCTTAATCCAACTGACACCTTTATCCGTTTCTTAAAAATGGCTTCAATTTGACTCCTCTGATAAAGTCTATTACATAAACACTCTAATACTTACCTCCACCTCTAAAAGGACAACTGCCCACTCCCTTAAAACTAGATTGATTCCTTTCAGGATATATACTTAATATACACCCTATCATTCTGTTTAACAAAGTGTCTCAGTGAAGATAATCAAGTCTTAACACTTACCCTGCTACATTACTGAAAATATAAAAGACTACATATAACTCGTTTTGTTTTCCTGGCCTTTGATTCAGTGGTACCAGTTGTGGAATAGAAAATATAAAAACTTACAGAAAATTGGAGTTATTGTTATTAATATTCTATTAATAATGTTAAAGATAACTGAGAGGAATGTTTTGACAGCATTTCTTTTTCGTTTGTTGACCTAACACCAACTTTACATAAACTGTCAAGACAATTTTCTATTTCTGCTTTTGACATAATCAAAAATGGAGTCATCCACTAATGTTAAATAGCAGGCTTTAAGCCAGAAAAGGGAGGGTGTAGTGAAATGAAGTAAAAAAACCTCTCCTAACTACCTACTCATAGCTGTCATCAAGAATCTCTGAAAAAGGGGCGCCTGGATGGCTCAGTCGGGTAAGTGGCTGACTCTTGATTTTGGCTCAGGTTATGATCTCATGGGTCCTGGGATCCAGCCCTGAGTGAGGCTCCACACTCAGCAGGGAGTCTGCTTGAGGATTCTCTCCCCCTCTGCCCCTCCCCGAGCTCATGCACTTGCACTCTCGCTCTCTCTAAAATAAATAAATCTTTAAGGGAAAAAAAAGGATCTCTGGGGGAAAAAAAGAATCTCTGCAATTTGTCTGAAATACAGAATTCACCTACTGAAGAGAGAGAGAAATTGCCGTCTCATTTTCCACATAAGGAAATCTCGAATACCCCTTCCAGGTGTAAAATTCCCGAACGTCAAAAATGTAGTATATACTGAAAACAGTAGGTTCTCCTTTGATTTTTTTAAAAAAGATTTGAGCAGAGAGAGAGCAAGAGCAAGGGGTAGAGGGAGAGAGTAACAGACTCCCCGCTGAGCAGGGAGCCCAACATGGGGCTCAATCCCAGGACCCCGGGATCATGACCTAAGCTGAAGGCAGACGCTTAACTCACTCAGTCACCCAGGCATCCCTCCTTTGATTTTTACAAGTGAAGAAAGAAACCGAGATCCATATATAACACTCAAGAACAAAGATGTTTAAAACTACCTCTATTTTTTAAATTGAAGAAAGTGACTACACTCCTCTTGTCTACCCGACAGCACATCCAAGGATTATGCCTTACTTGTGAAAATGTACTCTGTAACTTGCAAATACTATGAGCAGATGATGTGATTCTCATTTTACACTATTTAGAAAGCTAGAAGAAATACTTGAGAAAATAAATCATTTAAGAGTCAACAGACTTTTGTTCTGAAGATGCAAAATCAAATTGGTAAGAACGGAAAAAATGGATCACAGGAAATTAAATTTCCTGATATGGCAGCAAACAAAATGACAGTGGTGCTAAGGGGGCCACGGTCAACGTCTGTGCTGGACCAAAATGGTAGCAACTGGAAGTGACATCTCTTGGGGAAGAAAGAATTATCAGAGGAACTAAATCTTTGAGAGAGAAAACAACACAGAAGTCTATAGACTGCTTTGGTTTTACCTAGATCTGCGACAGTTCCTCCTTTAACAGGTGTGTTTTCACTGTCTTTCTTTGGGTTCACTAGAAAGAAAAAAAAAATCATGTTTTAGGGGAAAAGTTCTACTTTTTTAAAAGAGAACAGAATAAAAGACGATTGAAAACTACATGAATCTCAATGTAAATCCACTGTCATCCAGAGTTCACCATCATGAAAAACTCCAAACCCAACAGAAAGATTAACACTTACTGTAACAGACTGCATTTTGTAATTTCCCAAGTACCAATATTTTTTCATGACAAAAGTACACAATACAAAAATATATAGGGCAAAACCTGAAAAGAACCTTTCAATCCCTTCCCCAAAAGTATTTTTTATTACATTTTCTGTGCATTTGTTGATTCCCATTTTTGTGGCATTCACTTAGATAAGCTGAAGGAGAACTAATACCTTTTACATATCTATGTAGACTTCAAAAATAGAAATGTTACCCATACTGTGCTCTTCCTTACCACTCTACTTTTCTCATTCAAGAGTGTGCCTGTATGACCTTTCCATGTTATGTATTTTTAGTTAAATTATATCTCTTTCATTTTCAATAAATCCACTATGTTCATGGGTGGGTCATAAGGTAACTAGTCCTAGATTAATGGAGACTTAGTTTATTTGCAATTTTTTACAGCAAAGTAATCCACATTCTTATATTCACCTTTAAGCATGCATATAATTACTTAAAATGAGAGCTCTGAAATTAAAACTGCTAATGGATATACACATTTTAAAACAACAGATATAGCCAAATTGTGTTAAGTGCCTTCACCAATTTACACTTCCACTAATAGCATTTGAGAGTACCCATTTCCTCAAAACATCTGTACTTTGGGAATCATCTATTTTCTAAGATTTGAAAATCTAATGTATGAAAAATGTTCCTTTAATAATTTACATACTGTTGGTTAAATGAGGTTGAGCATCTTTTTGCACATTTATTGGCCCCGAAATTTGATAAAATTACCAGTACAAAATACTTTGCCCCTCACTCTATAGGGTGTAAGAATCTTTATACAAATTTAGAGTTCTAATTCTTTGTTAAATGGCTAATGAATATTTTCCCCCAAGGCTAACACTTGCTTAAAGTACATTAATATTTGGAAGGTTACTTTTACATTTTAATTTGGCACTTTAATCCACCTGAAGCTTAAGTTCTTATTTCTGACACAAAGAACAGTACTAAATTTTTACCACAAGTATTTATGGAACAGTTTGGTCTTTTCCCACAAATTCGCCCTGCCAAATTCACAATAAATTAAATTGATAAACAAACATGGATCTACAGTTGAATCAAACATTCTACTCTACTGATGGATTCGGCGACATTCCTGTGTCCAAATCATACTATATCCATTATTATAGTTTTTAGAGTTCAGTTAGTTATCTGTTAGGACTACCACCACCTTCGTAGCTCTTTTACTTAAAATAAATATTTGGGGGGCACCTGGGTGGCTCAGTGGGAAAAGCATGCAACTATTGATCTCAGGGTTGTGAGTTCGAGTCCTACACTGGGCATAGACAAAACTTAAATGAATACAATTTAAATAAATAAATATTTGGGGGTGCATGGCTGGCTCAGTCAGTAGAGCATGCAATTCTTGATCTTGGGGAGTTGTAAATTCAAGCCCCACACTGGTTAGAGATTACTTAAAAATAAAAGCTTAAAAAAAAAAAAAAAGGCAAACAAACGAGAGGCACCTGTGTGGCTCAGTCAGCTAAGCATCTGACTCTTGTGATCAAGCCACCCATGGGGCTCCATGGTTAGCATGGAGTCTGCTGGAGATTCTCTCATTTTCCCTCTGTCCCGCTTGCACTCAACTCTTTCTAAAATAAATAAATAACTCTTTAAAAACAAAAAAACAACTGAAAGATGCATATTGTAGTCCCTACAGCAACCACTGAGAAAAAAACCGGTAAAAATCAAATAGAGAATATGAAAACCTATATAACAGAAAACAGAAGAGTGGTTGCCAGGATATGGGAGAAAGGAGATAATCTATACTAACCCCCAGTAAGTATAGGGTTTGTTTTCAGAGGGACGGAAATGTTCTAGAATTAAGAGGTGGTGATTGTACAACATAATGAATACACTAAAAAAACCAATGGAGTGATTAAAATACACTTTAACTGGTGAATTTTATGCTATGTGAAGAATATCTCAATTAGAACTATGCTATATAAAAAAGGAAGTCATAGAAGTTCTAAAATAAAAGAAAAGCAGGGGCACCTGGGTGGCTCAGTCGGTTAAGCATCTGCCTTCAGCTCAGGTCATGATCCTGGGTCCTGAAATCGAGCCCTCCATCGGGCTCCCTGCTCAGCAGAGAGTCTGCTTCTCCTTCTCCCTCTGGACTTCCCACCCCCACTCATGCACTCTTGCTCTCTCTCAAATAAATAAATAAAATCTTAAAAAAAAAAGAAGAAGAAGAAAAGCAAGCACAGAAGCCAGAACAGAACATTGAAAGTAGTGGATTAAAGCAAAAGAAGGGAGGAGGTAAGAGAAGGACAAATAGAAAAAAATTATCATAATGGCAGACTTAAGCCCAATGACATCAATAATTCTATAACATTTCAGTGGACCACATACTGCTAAAAACAAAAAATGTGTATTGGGGAGGCGGGCAAAGCTCAACAATATGCTGTTTAAAATCGACATGCTTGGGGCGCCTGGGTGGCTCAGTCATTAAGCGTCTGCCTTCGGCTCAGGTCCTGATCCCAGGGTTCTGGGATCAAGCCCTGCATCAGGCTCCCTGCTCCACGGGAGGCCTGCTTCTCCCTCTCTCACTCCCCCTGCTTGTGTTCCCTCTCTCACTGTCTCTCTCTCTGACAAGTAAATAATCTTTAAAAAATAAAATAAAATAAAAAAATAAAATCGATATCTTTACATAATCAAACTGAAAGTAACAGGATGCAAGAGAGATGTAAGTCAGAAATCTAACATGTAAGAACAAAGCTTGTGTAATTTACAAACTGCTCTGCTGAAGTCAAGTACAGTGGAGACTAATTTTAAAAAGTGTAGAAATAAAAGGGTGTGGTGTGATGAGGCTTTATTATCATCAGAGAACCTGGCCTTCAAGACAAGTACTACTATGGCACATAGACAAACACGACATAAGAGTCAATTCATCAGGAGGACATGATGATCCTAAGTGTATATGCCCTTAAATAGCAGAGCTTCAAAGTACATGAATAAAAATACTTAAAAGAAAAAATATTCACAGGAATCAAGGAAAAAAATAGACAAATCCACAAATATAGTTAAAAGGGTCTAACATTCTCCCAATAACTTATTTAAATAGGTTAAAATATCATAGATAATACGCCACCTTCTCATCTGTATATTGATTCTAATGGAATTTAAAAACCATTTATTTCAAAGCATTGCTCAATTTAGAGAATTTTTCTTTCTTTCTTTTTTTTTTTTTTGAGTAGGCTCTATGCCCCTGTGGGGCTTAAATCACAACCGTGAGATCAAGAGTCACCTGCTTGACCAAATGATCCAGCTAGGCGCCCCATTAGAGAACTTTTTGGTCACGGTGTTTTTCTCAGTAAGTAGCAGAAGTACACCAAAAGATTGGGAAAGGGAAGAAACATTTGCACCTTGAAAGTTGGGAACTGGGGGCACAGAGCAAGAAATGATTCATCCCATGGCATTGCTACAGAGTGATTAAATCACATCTAATACTCTCATAGTCTAGGCAAAAGAATACAAACCATTTTTTGGAAGCACCACTTCCTCTATGTTGGGTACCGGTGTTGGGTCTTCCATGTCCTTGGTAAGATCTTCTTGCTCATCTTCCTCTTTCTGACTTCTGCGCTTCCCATAAAGACTAGCTTGGCTAAAACATACAATGCATATAAATATAAAAAGGCTGACTATAGCTACTCATAGCAGACAATTTCAGAGGCTTTATCCTCATTGTTAGAATCTATGCTCAGAATCTCTTTAAAAAGACAAATAGAAACCAAACAAATTAGGTACATTCCCAAGTTACATCTAACCAGCCAGAAGGAAAGTAAAGGTTATTGGGAGGAAGAAATGGCCCCAGAAATTCTACTATACAAATCACAGACAGTATCCTAAAGGGGGCTTAAATTATGTAATAAAAGAACACCTGCTAAGGAAATATGGTACATATTTTATCTCACATAAACAATCACTTACATAAGAAATTTTCTCAAAGATATGTACAACCGTATTTTCCTGGTTCTTTGTATCATCCAAATATCAAACTGCAAAGTAAAATCACTTAGGATAGTACTAATTTGTGTGTGTGTGTGTGTGTGTGTGTAAAAACTGCCATCGCCCTTTCTTTATTTTTAAAACTAACACATTCCAGAAAGCAGATTAGGGTTCAAACAAGAATGGAAAGACTTCTTACCTTGAAGAATTACAGGGGATACAGGATAGAAATTATCAACTACTTCATATAACATGATGTGTACCAGAAACGAGTAAGGGTACCAAGAAAACAAGACATAATCAAGATCGAAAGTGACAGTTAAGCTCAATCTTGGAACTGTAACAATTCACAATGTTTCAGGACAGGCAATGTTTCAGGATAATGAGTGGAGGCATAAGAAAAGAGACAACCTGTTCTGAGACGGAATGAGCAACACAAACAAGTGAGGAGTGGAGAAAGAGCTGATGGAAATATACAGTGGGCCAGCCCGCGTCCTCACACTGCAGAGAGCATGAGCAGAGCTCTCTTCATGACAGACCACACACTGGCATAGGTTAGAATCAGGTATATAGGTAAAAATATTTTTTAAATTTTTAATAAAAACTGCATGACAATTTTTCAAAAGCCTGTGAACCTAAAGGTGTTAGGGAGACAAAATAAGGGAAGGTCAATAAAACAAGAGTCAGGAAAACAGATATCAATGTCTTTTCACTAAAGGAAACAACACAAAACTTGAATGACCGCTCATTAGAAGACAGCTGTATTCAGGGCGCCTGGGTCGCTCAGATGGTTAAGCATCTGCCTTCACCTCAGGTCATGATCCCAGGGTCCTGGGATCGAGCCCCACATCGGGCTCCTGGCTCAGCCAGGAGTCTGCTTCTCCCTCTCCCTCTGCCTCTCCCACTGCTCATGCTCTCTCTCTCTCTCTATCTCTGTGTCTCAAGTGAATAAATAAAATCTTTAAAAAAAAAAAAAAAGAAGGAGACAGCTGTATTCAGTTGAAGGACACGCATACATCTACTTTGGGAAACTCCATTTGGTGGGTTTTATACTCAGAGTAGAGGCTCAGTACCATCACTGTGAGCCTCCTAGACATCACGTCTTTTTTGGGGGGACTACTAGTGTCCTGGCACTGCATCTCAGCCCCTAAGTGGGAAGAAGCGTACATCGATTTCAGGCCCAGGAACACTTGGAAAAGCTGTATGGCTTTCTTCACAGGGACATCAGGGAAGCCCTCAATTCCCTGCATATCAAGCATAAGACTCAGATTAGAGATTTAAGAAATAAGGTTACTCTCACTAATTGCTAAAGAAAAATCTATTTTTGTGGTTTTTTCTATCATAATACATGTGACTTGACAAAATAACAACATCCTTTTATGACTATGACTGGCTCATTAATATTATTTATAAAACTAAGAATTTTTTAACTTCCCTAACAGCTTCTATACACGGTTAACAATGCTTCAGATAACCCTACCCTTCAAGAAATAACATGGTTCTGATGAATCACAGACCTATACCCCTGAAACAAAATACATTATATGTTAATTAAAAAATTTTTAAAAAGAAATAACATGATTCAAGGCATGTTCTGGGCATAAAAAAATGCTAATTTGGCTATAGGAAAAAGTCAATAAAAGGAAGCTAATGAAGGGAAGATAACAAGTAGATCTTTATAGTCCAGTCAACTGCCAGAAATTTAACAAATTTCCGGTTGCATGAAAAGAATAAATTTTGCATCTGTCATTTTATAAGACTAAACTTAACCTCTTTGAAATTAAATTAAAAAAATTTTGAGTGAGACAAGCTAAGCAAGCCAGAAATTAAGTATCTACTTAATATACAATAATAAATGTTAAGTATTATCTACCATCTATTAAGTACCTACTTCAGGCCAGACACTGCACAGGGGCTCTAAAGTCTCACTTGATCCCCACAACAACTTACTCAAAAGAAACCAGGAACCCCACTCAAGCAAGATTCACTAAAGTACAAATGTGATGCCCTGAACAAGGCACTCTGCTCAACATGAAACAGACATAGGTTCCTTTCCTCTATGAGTCACTCTGATCACAAATGGGACAGGTGGTAAAATCAGAGAAAGAGACACTAACTATGGCAAATATAATTTCTTAAATTCCTTACCAGCCACACTGCTCAACATATAATTAGATACAGAAAAGACTGTATTCAGGGTGCCTTGATATAAATACAACATCAGATGGCCATCTTACAAAGGAGATGAAGGGGAAGGAAAAATAGGGGAAGAGGAAAAGAAAGACAAAGAGCCAAATATTCCACCCTCAGACCTTGGTGAAGGTGACGGAACTTAGTTGAAAGGATACAGTAACAGGAAGCCGAGAGTCCAGCTTTGAATCTTGACTCTAAGGAAAAATCTCTATGTGACCTTGGAAAAGTTACTTCCCTATCCTGAACCTCAATCTCTATCTCTTAAGATAAAGACGCTTATGATACTTCAAAGATCTGTTTCAGTTTTAAGTTTCTGAACATGGTTTCTACTCTCACTAAGCTGTGAGCCAAAGCTCTAATCCAGAAGGCAAATATTCATCCCCTTCCCATGGCTAGGCCAGAGAGAGAAAAATAGTTTCTCTCAGAATTTGATCATGGAATTGGAGTGGCTATATTTTAAGTACAGATTAGATTTCACAGTATGTTTATGTGGAATACAAAGTTAAATGTGATGTGTGTGTGTGTATGTGCGCGCGCGCGCGCACGAGAGAGAGAGAGAGAGAGAGAGAGAGAGAGAGTGTGTGTGTGTGTGTGTGTGTGTGATGGAAGATTATTTAGCCATTAAAAAGGAAATTCTGCTACTTGGGACAACATGAATAGACCTTGAGGCCATTTTGCTAGGAGGAATAACTAAGAGAAAAATAAATACCATATGATCTCTCTTATATGTGGAATCTAAAAAACAAACAAAACAAAAAACACAAATTCACAGATTGAGGGAATACACTGGTGGCTGCCAAAGGTAGGGGGTGGGGGAGAATGGGAAAGTTGGTGAAAGGTATAAACTTCCAGTTATAAAATAAACCCTAGAGGTGTAATATACAGCATGGGGTCTGCAGTTAACACAGTACTGTGCATTTGAAAGATGTTAAGAGAGTAGATCCTAAAAGTTCTCATCACAAGAAAAAAATATTAACTATGTGTGGTGCCGGATGTTAACCAGATTTATTGTGATTATTTCACTATACATATCGATTTAAAAAAAGATTGTAATGCAAGGTGCCTTAGCATAAATACAACAGAAGATGGCCATCAGATAACATCTGACAAGATGAGCTACCAGAGCAAAGACATCTACCAAGTCAAAATAAGACAACTTCCTTTGAGCAAAACTTCTAGTATAAACGTAAAAATCTGGAATTCCCTCTGCAGTTTGTTTTAATGCCTCTGAATCATGCTGCAGTTCTTACCCTTTCTTTCCACTCTTCTTCCGGGATTCTGTGGGTGTAGGAGGTGGAGGGGAAGGCGAATGTTTCCTCTTTCGAGCATTAGCTGATGCTTTCCTATCTCTTCTCTCTGGACTTCTGACTGGCTAGGAAGAAGTAAATGGAAATAAATATCAGCCAGCTTTTCTGACTCCTCAGTTTCTACAAACCCTTGTCCAAAGATGAGTTTCACAAAGATAATACCAATACCACTCAGAGCATCCTAAACGACCAGCAGTCAAGACTCTCTGACCTTCCAGGTGATGTACCACCAATGGAAATATTAGAACCATCCCACAGGTATTCAAACTGTGCTACAAAACAGACATGCCCAAATCCTGCCCAGCTAAAAACTGTTCCTGTTCACCTTCTGCTTCCAGAGAGGAAAAGCATTTTCAACAACTACTAGAAAATACAAAACATATGCTATTTAATTAATGAAATACAAACAATGGCTGAATGATCTTGTGAAAGTGTATCAGAAACTAGTCCTGACGTGTCAGTAAAATAGGAGAAAACTTTATGACACAAAAGATGTTAAATAAGATTGCAACTTATGACTTAAAAGTCAATCTAACAGAAGTACAAATACCCCTATTTGCAGATGGCATGATCTTATATATAGATAACCCTAAGGAATCTACCAACTATCAGAGCTAATGAGTTCAGCAGTTGCAGGATACACATCAAAATACGAAAGTAAACCTGTAGATGATAATTATGGATTTAATAAAATAGACAATAAAGAATTAACACCTAAGACAATCCAAAGTATTGTACCCGAGGTGCCAAAAAAAATCAGAGATTAGAACGTTAATTAAACATTCATCATCTCTGGTATCTTCATACTCCTTACAACTCTGTTTCCTTTCAGAAGCTCAGTAGCATCAAATTGGAATCTAAGTCATCTTACAGGCCTACACAAGAAGTTTTAAAGAAAATCTAAACTGTCCACACTGTATGGTAAGTCTGAAGTTAAACTTTTAAAAAGAGATATTAAATGCATTTTTATAGAATCACGCGAAAAATAAGTGAATAAATTAATACATAGGCCATCTAAATCTGAACAGAGATGGCTACGGACAGGCCTCTTTAATAATGTGCTGTACAAATTAGACTATTCCTAATGACAAAAAAGATTGGTTGGAAACACATTAAGGGAAAGCAAATATCTAAGCATATGGGGTGTGGTGGGGGGGGGGAGGCTGAATAAAAAATAAAATTTAAGTCAAATTCCACAGCAAATAAGGACCAATTAAAAATGAAAGGATATGAGGGGCACCTAGGTGGCTCAGTGTTAAGCGTCTGCCTTCGGCTCAGGTCATGATCCCAGGGTCCTGGGATCGAGCCCCGCATCGGGCTCTCTGCTCTACGGGAGGCCTGCTTCTCCCTCTCCCACTCCCCCTGCTTGTGTTCCCTCTCTCGCTGTGTCTGTCTGTCAAATAAGTAAATAAAATCTTTAAAAAAAAAAAAAAAGAAAAAAGAAAGAAAGAATATGAACAAGACCCAGTTTTAAAATATTTTTCTTAAAAATAAAAAATACACATCGTGAGCCCAAGAGTTTTAGTAAGAAAGTCTCAGGGCTGAAAACAGGTATGAGAGAATGGTACATTCTAAGTGAACAATTAAAAGTATTTCTGTCTCAGAAATTTTTCAAAGATCTACAATACAAAACAAAAAGCAAAAACCTGATGTGTCCCCAGTGAAGAGGAATGAGAATCTTACTTAAGCATTCATCAGCCAACACCAATACATCTAAGCCTTCTCAGACTCCTCTTCCTCCGGGTGACACACCTACCTCACAGGTTGTGGCTTCTCAAGAACCATGGTAAAAACTTTTGGTAGTTGGGCTTCTTAAAGGATTAAAGAGTAATAAATGCCACATCATCCCACCTTAAAAAGGGCTGAACTCTACCTTTGAGATCTTTGAGGCCGATACTATGTACTAACTACTGTGGGTACAGTAACAAAGCTATTAAAGAATATGAAGACAAAATTAGTTCTCCCTTGAAAAACCAACTAAATTACATTATCCTGTAATAATATTGGGTTCACAAAATTAAAATCAGACCTAGGAAACGAAATCAGCTACACCGCTGCCACACTGCATATGCCACTTTACATCTCCATGACCCTTTGAGAGCGTCATGCCCCTTCTTTGGGAATGCCAGCTCCTGAGATGGTCGTATGACCATTTGGTTAACTTTTGCACACACCTGACGAGCGATGCACCTTGGACTGTATGTCACAGCTTATTAATGAAGATTTGACAACAGTGAGGCCCAGAAAGAAGAAACATCAAGTGGAGAAAAATGGTGCCAAACCAAATACCTCTTCATTCTTTGTTGAAATTCGCTGACGAAAGCTCACGGGCTTCCTGTTCTCGTCCACCTCATAATCCTCCTCATTCATCCATTCATTGAAAACATCAGTGTCCAAAATCCATTTCGCATGAACCTAAAACCACATTCAAGCGTGTGTATCTATATAAATAGTAAATCATTACAGTTTTTAAAGTATTCAACATTGGGGCGCCTGGGTGGCTCAGCGTTGAGTGTGTGCCTTTGGCTCGGGTCATGGTCCCAGGGTCCTGGATCGAGCCCTACACCGGGCTCCCTGCTCAGCGGGAAGCCTGCTTCTCCCTCTCCCTCTCTCCCACTCCCCTTGCTTGTGTTCCCTCTCTCACTGTCTCTCTCCGTCAAATAAATAAATAATAAATCTTAAAAAAAATAAATAAAAATATTCAACACTAAAGAAGCAGACTTATTCTCAACTCAAAGCCTCAATTGCATAAAAGTTTAAAAACATGACATTGTAAGGGTGCCTAGGTGGCTCAGTTGGCTGAACTTCAGACTCTTGGTTTTGGCTCAGGTCATGTTCTCAGTCGGGGTCCTGGAATCGAACCCTGCGTCAGGCTCCGGAGCTCAGTGCAGAGTCCGCTTGTCCTTTCCCCCTTCCCCCCACCCCGCTTGCTCTCTCGAGCGTGCATGTGCTTTCTCTCTCACTCTCTCTCTCAAATATATAAACAAAATCTAAAAATAAAAATAAAAACCCCAACCATGAGAATATTAAAGACCTGTGAATGGCAACTTAACCATTTCTAATTTTTATTCCATGTTACTGCATATAGTAAGAAAGCATCACTGGTTTTGCAAAGACTGAGGTTTTAATAACTGGCCCTTAATTTGATAATCATGTCATCTGTCTTCATTTCAGCTTTATTTAGGTATAACTGAAAAATAAAATTGTAAGATACTCAACGTATACATCATGATGATTTGATATGCATACACACTGCGAAAGGATCCCCCCATCTAGTTAATTAGCACATCCATCACGGTACATACTTAACTTTTTTATGTGTGAGAATATTTAAGTTCTGTTCTCTTAGCAAATTCCAATTATACAATACAGTGTCATCAACGTTAGTCACCATGTTTCACATTAGATCGTCAGACAATTCTTATCCCAACTGCAAGTTTGTGCCCTTTTACCAACTTTACTCCCCCTTGCCCTTCTTTGCTGGCAACCATTTCTCTACTCTCTTATTTCTAGAGTTTTTTTTTTTCTTAAAGATTCCATATAAAAGCAGTATCATGCAGGATTTATGTTTTTCCATTTGGCTTATTTCACTAATCATGTCTTCTTTATTCTGATGAAAAACACTGATAAAAACATTTTAACAGCATTAGGCCATTCAAAGCAATAGGCCTAGTCACTGCTCTAGGCATGAAGGATGTCTCTATGTTTATGCGTTCAACAAAATTCTATGGAATGATGAAAGAGGACATTTACACAGACCTATCATCAGACCTATCACCTCGCCCTGTCGAGTATACAGGTGCTCTGTGGAGACCTTTCAGGGATAGCCAAGGTTGGGGAGTGGAGAAGTGAGAATCAGATTCAGGATTCTTCCAAGCCCTTTATATGGTAACTTCTCTTGCTTTTTTTTGTTAATGTTTCTGGGTAAGAATTTTAAAAATGATGGGTTCTCCGAATGTTGTATAGATATAGATGGAGATATAGATACTGAAACCACAGACCTAGCCTACATATTCCTATTATCCAACAGAATTTTTCAAAGATGGTACACTGGAATTTGGGACTAGACAATCCTTCCCTGTGTAGACAAATATGAAATAATTTCAGCACCAAAATAATTAAGTAGTAAGTTACTGACCACTGAAACATTAGAACTCCATAAACCCATACTGGTAACAGATGAATAAAAAAGTAAATGAGGGGAAAGGAAGGGCTCTGAAAGCCGACTGGTAAATGTGGAGGGAGGGCTAGAATGGAAAATTATCCCTGTGCAATCATCAAAGAAAACACTGGTTCAGGCAAGAATTTCAAGTAGATGCTAAATCTGGGCAATGGAGAGTATTTTGATAAGAAGCAGGATATCTGTATGGCCTACAAGAATCTCTTACAGATTGCTTATAAATTACAAGTGGAAAAAAAAAGGAACTATACAGTGGAGCCAACAGAACACACCGTAACTGGGTGATCAGCATCATCAACAAGGAAGCACTGGGTAATGTTTCAGATTAAAGGAAACAAAAGAGACAGGACATTTGAATCAATAGCTGATATTCAATGGTATTCTGGGGCGCCTGGGTGGCTCAGTTGGTTAAGCGACTGCCTTCGGCTCAGGTCATGATCCTGGAGTCCCTGGATCGAGTCCCGCATCGGGCTCCCTGCTCGGCAGGGAGTCTGCTTCTCCCTCTCCCACTCCCCGTTTGTGTTCCCTCTCTCGCTGTGTCTTTCTCTGTCAAATAAATAAATAAAATCTTTAAAAAAAAAAAAAAAAAAGAGTTGATACATGGGCTCTTACAATTGTGACAGAAATGACTAATAAAATAAGTCTGTTTCATCGTAAGAGCCATGCAGGCATGGCTTCCAGCCTTCCTAAATGACACTACCAAGGTTCAAATGCACTCCTCCACTCCTCTCTCAACCACCTCAAAGCACAATGTAACTGGACTCTGGGGTCTCCTCAAACTCCGCTGTAAACATTTCTGCTAAGACCTAGATAATGAGTTCTTTGTGGTCATGGACAGCTTAACAGGATGACAAGAAAGGAAGATCCTCATTCTATACTTCCTTGAAACACTGTTGTGAAAAAGAGCTGAGAAAAACTATTAAGTTATATAAGAATAGATTTTTTAAAAAAATGATCTCTCACCTTCCATGGCTTTTCTGGAATTGGTGGATCTTCAATTTCTGCATCAACATCATTACTATGGACCCAAGTATCATAGCTACAAAGGAAATGAAAAAAGGAAAAACAGCTTAGAACCCAAATTCATTCACTAAAAAGACCTTTTATAAAAAGGTGAAACTGTATTTTAGAAATACTCTTAGCATCAAGTAATAGCAATATTTCACACACTTTTGTCTCTGCCACTCTGACAAGAAAACACTTCTGTAGAGGTCTATAGTGATCCTGACACTGTTAAGTCCAAAGTTCAAGTCTCAGTGCACAGAATTCACAGAATTTTAATGAGATCGCTCTCTCCTCAAAGCATTTCCCTCACCTGGTCTCCAAGACAGCACTATCATCTGCTAGTTCTTCTAGCCACAGCCTTTCCCCATCCTGCATGGCCAGTTTCTCCTCTTCTCCCAAACCTCTTCAACATTGGAAGGTCCAAGTTTGTTTTGCAACACTCCTCTTCTTGTCTACTCATTCTCTTGATCTCATGCAGACCTATGGCTTGAAATATCTACGCATCTGCCCTCTTCTCTGAATGCTGGACTCATGAATCCAACTGCCAAATCCACATTTTCCCTTACATATTCAAGAAGGCTTTCAAAACTAACACACTCAAAATTCAGCATGCAATGTCTTCCTGATCCCAAAAATACGCCCTAGCCAATCATCCCCATCTTAGTAAATGCCAACTCCATTTTTCCAGTTGTTCTGGCCAAAATCCGTGCAGACATCCCTGACTTCACCCTCAATCACATCCTACAATCCAACCAATAACAACTTCGACAGTTCATTCCATCTTCAAAATATGCCCAGAATCTATCTACTTCTCACCCTTCTACTTCTGCCCAAAGCCCTGAGTCCATTTTTCACAAGCAACCAAAGTGATCCTTTAGAAAATCAAGTCCAGGGCGCTTGGGTGGCTCAGTTGGTTAAGCGACTGCCTTCAGCTCAGGTCATGATCCCAGGGTCCTGGGATCGTGTCCCACATCGGGCTCCCTGCTCTGCGGGGAGCCTGCTTCTCCTTCTCCCACTCCCCCTGCTTGTGTTCCCTCTCTCGCTGTGTCTCTGTCAAATAAATAAATAAAATCTTAAAAAAAAAAAAAAAAAAGAAAATCAAGTCCGTCCACATTACCACTACTCAAAACCTTCCAACAACTCCCACCTCACTCAAAGAGCCAAAATCCTTACGGTGGATTGCCAAGGCCTCATGACCTGGTCCTCTGACTGCCACTCTGACCCCATCTCCTAGTACTCTCCCCTCAACTCACGTTTCAGTTGAGCCACCTGGGCTTTCATGGTGTTCTTTAAAAATGCCAGGCAGTGGCCACTTTAAACCCTTTACAGAGGCTTCTCGCTACCCAGATATCATATGGCTCACCCCTCATATCTTCACACCTGTTTGCTCAAGGGTTCTCTCTTGAATCACTCCCCCTGCTCCCCTACAACTCTGAGGTAAGCATAAAATTACCAAATTGAAACTGTCAACGCTACTATACTGGCCAATAAATTACTGTAAAAGCAAGGAATATCTAAATTAAATACAAGTATGGTAACCAGCACCGGCTCCCTGAAGCCACTACTCAGAAGTCAGTTCAAAAGCATACGGAACAGGGCGCCTGGGTGGCTCAGTTGGTTAAGCGACTGCCTTCGGCTCAGGTCATGATCCTGGCGTCCCGGGATCGAGTTCCGCATCGGGCTCCCTGCTCGGCAGGGAGTCTGCTTGTCCCTCTGACCCTCCTCCCTCTCATGCTCTCTGTCTCTCATTCTCTCTCTCTCTCAAATAAATAAATGAAATCTTTAAAAAAAAAAAAGCATACGGAACAATAATAATAAAAACATTTAAAAAAATAATAATAAATTTAAAAGGGGGGGAATAAATAAATAAATAAAAGCATACGGAACAAGCACAGCTCCATATGTCTATTAATGGCACTCTGGTAAGTTTTCTAGGAACACTTAAAACATGAGCTGGAGAAAAAAAGATCCTTTGCCAAGTTATTAATTATAACAGATAAAGATAACAATGGTGAGTTAGCAACTGATAACCTTACATTCTCTAGAAGTCTTGAATACAAACTGTCACAGAGGTAGAAGTGAGGGCACAGACTCCAACAGTCCCTCCTTACCCCGGGTTTTACATCCTGCACTTCCAGTTACCCGCAGTCAAACGTGGTTGAAAGCGGATGGTCCTCCTTCTGACTGAAGAAACCTAACGCAACATCACAGTGCCTGCACCACTCACCTCACTTCGTCACCACACAGGCATTTATTATCCCACGTCAACACAAGAAGGGTGAGTACAGTACAATAAGGTATTTTAAGAAAAGAGAGACCACATTCATGTAACTTTTCTTACACTATACCATTCCAACTTTTCTATTTTATTATTAGTTATTGCTGTTCATCTCTTACTGTGCCTAATTTATAAATCACCTTTTATCACAGGTACGAATATACAGGGAAAAAATATAGTATATATAGGGTTCAGTACTATCCATGGTTTCAGGCATACACTGGGAGTCTTTAAAATGAAGCCCTCACAGATGAGGGGGGTGGGGGGACTGTTATATAGTTAATAAAGAAAGTGAACAAGGCCTTGAGAAGATAAGACTCAAACCAGCCACTATATCTTATCTGAAACATAAAGAAAAGGTTAACGGGCGCCTGGGTGGCTCAGTTGGTTAAGCGACTGCCTTCGGCTCGGGTCATGATCCTGGAGTCCCGGGATCGAGTCCCACGTCGGGCTCTCTGCTTAGCAGGGAGTCTGCTTCTCCCTCTGACCCTCCCCCCTCTCATGTGCTCTCTCTCTCTCTCTCAGATAAATAAATAAAATCTTTAAAAAAAAAAAAAAGAAAAAGAAAAGGTTAACAAACAGGCTAACATGTTTTTACTGTATTATAGAATTTATTTCAACTGTATACTTATGAAGCTAATCATCATAAATTTGAGTTTCCATCTAAATGTTTCAAAGGGCAAATTGATTTCCTTTAAGATTTCCCATAATATTGAAATGTTTGCTTAACAGTGCCAAGGACTACTTGAAGCCTCAAGACTAGAGATGTTTTATAGGAAGGATTCATTTAAATATTATTTAAAAATCTGCTAGTTCATTTAAAGTCATCAATTATGGTTCAGCAAGCTGATTCAATCTGGTTCTAATTAACTCAACCCATATGAAAACCGTGCATATACTCTTAAAATTCTGAACATATCTAAAGACATATTTCCTTCCTTAAAAAATATCTTGGTATTATGCTAAGCGAAATAATCAGAGAAAGACAATTATTGTATGATCTCACTTACATGTGGAATTTAAGAAACAAAACAGAGGATCATAGGGAAAGAGAGGAAAAAAATAAAACAAGATGAAATTAGAGAGGGATACAAACCATAAGACTCTTTTTTTTTTTTTAAGATTTTATTTATTTATTTGAGAATGAGAGAGAGCACATGAGAGTGGGGAGGGTCAGAGGGAGAAGCAGACTCCCTGCCGAGCAGGGAGCCCGATGCGGGACTCGATCCCGGGACTCCAGGATCATAACCTGACCCGAAGGCAGTCGCTCAACCAACTGAGCCACCCAGGCGCCCCAAACCATAAGACTCTTAAATCACAGGAAATAAACTGAGGGTTACTGGAGGGGAGGGAAGTGGGAGGATGGGGTAACTAGGTGATAGACATTGATGAGGACACGTATGTAATGAGCACAGTGTATTGTATAAGACTGATGAACCAATGACCTCTACCTCAGAAACAAATACAGTATATGTTTATTAATTGAATTCAAATTTTTAAAAGTGAAAAAAAAAATCTTTACAGGAGTGCCTGAGTGGCATAGCTGGTTAAGCATCACTCTTGGTTTCAGCTCAGGTCATGGGATCGAGCCCTGCATCAGGCTCCATACTCAGTGTGGAGTCTGCTTGAGATTTTCCTCATTTGTCCCTCCCCCCACTCTTTTTCTCTCTCTCACTCACTCAAATAAATAAATAAATCTTAAAAAAAATACAAATCCTGGGGTGCCTGGGTAGCTCAGTCGGTTAAGTGTTTGTCTTCGGCTCAGGTCATGATCCCAGGATCCTGGGATCAAGTCCTGCATCAGGCTTCCTGCTCAGCGGGGAGCCTGCTTCTCCCTCTCCCTCTGCTCATGCTCTCTCTCTCTCACTCTTTTTCTCAAATAAATAAATAAATCTTTAAAAATAAATAAATAAAAGAATTTTTTTTTTAAAAAAGAGCACACGGGGGCACCTAGGGGGCTCAATCAGTTAAGCATCTGCCTTTGGCTCAGGTCATGATCCTGGAGTCCTGGGACTGAGCCCTGTATTTGGCTCCTTGCTCAGCAGGGAGTCTGCTTCTCCCCCTGCTTGTGCTCTCTCTCTCTTGCTCACTCTCAAATAAGTAAAATCTTAAAAAAAAAAAAGGAGCACACAGCCAGACATTATGGGTCATCATTAGATGATGAACAACACACATCTATGCAATAGTCCTATTCCCTCCATAAACTGAAATACACTCTGATTAACTCTAGATCCAACTGCCAATTTAAAGAAAATACAGAGAATGGAGAAACATGTTCAAATACACCACAGTGATGGCATTTAAAAAAAAAACAACACCACCACCCACATTGTGGTAAACTCTATAGGGTGTCCTATAAAACAAAAAGACATGAATGTTATCATTTAAATAATAATGTTTTATTATTTTTTAAAAAGATTTTATTGTTATTTTTATTTTATTTTATTGAAAGAGACAGAGAGAGAGGAGTGTCAGAGAGAGAAGCAGACCCCCTGCTGAGCAGGGAGCCCGATGCGGGACTCGATCCCGGGACTCCAGGATCATGACCTGACCCGAAGGCAGTCGCTTAACCAACTGAGCCACCCAGGTGCCCTAAATAATAATGTTTTAAAAACACCCTGGTTTCTTAAATAATACAATGCATGTGGTCAGGTGGGTAGGGAAGACAGAGAGAGAACCTAGACACTGAAAAATGTGTTAAGAAATATATCAATTAATCACAAAATGTGGCTGAATTCTACTTCTAACAAATAGCAATCTATAAATTAATCATATGTATTACATATGACAACACTGAATAGATGACATAAAGGCATTTTGTTTTTTAGATTTGACAATATTACCCTTTTTTTTTTAACAAATGAGGCATTTTTTAGAAATACATATTGAAATATTTATCATTAAAATGTTATGTGTGGGGGGGTGCCTGGGTGGCTCAGATGGTTAAGCGTCTGCCTTCGGCTCAGGTCATGATCCCAGGGTCCTGGGATCGAGTCCCGCATCGGGGTCCCTGCTCGGCGGGGAGCCTGCTTCTCCCTCTGCCTCTCTGTCTCTTATGAATAAATAAATAAAATCTTTAAAAAAAAAAATGTTATGTGTGGTATTTGCTTCCAATAATATGAGAATGTTAATAAAAGTAGATAGGAGTGGGCGCCTGGGTGGCTCAGTCGTTAAGCGTCTGCCTTCGGCTCAGGTCATGATCCCAGGGTCCTGGGATCGAGTCCCACATCGGGCTCCCTGCTCGGCAGGAAGCCTGCTTCTCCCTCTCCCACTCCCCCTGCTTGTGTTCCTGCTCTCGCTATTTCTCTCTCTGTCAAATAAATAAATAAAATCTTTAAAAAAAAAAAAAAGTAGATAGGGGTATAGATGAAAGAGGACTGGTCTGACATGAAAAACCCACAATGGTCAGAATCTTCCCCACAGCTCCACTGTAGGTTTAAGAAGATGAAGTTCATGGAAGGTTATCCTTATTTGTCAGTGTCCTATGTAGGCATAGTATAAATTTAAAAAGGACCACCATTTTCACTAACATCTAGTTCATATTTATAATATTCTTTATCTATACTTAGAGAATGAAACACAGTATGAGTTATGATTATCTCAAAGTAATAACGACAATTTCTTCTTCTGCCAAGAAGAAAAACTCTATTTAGAAATAAAATAATTCATTCTTAATAGTATGGCATGAAGATTTTTTGAAGAAACAAATAAAACTAAATAGTCATAAAATACTAGGGAGAAAAATTCATTTCTTGAAGGAAACAAATCTATATTAGCAGTCTAATACCATATTGAAGGGGTGTTTTGGCAAATGCAGCAAATTGGGGCTTTGAATTGAATTCCTTAACTTCAGTAAGACTCAAAAAGTGAGATCAAGCACTGAAGCAAACAAAGTTGTCACTCTTCCGAAAATGAAACTATACATAAATAACTCCAGCTTGCACTGAAAAAAAATCTTTATACCAGATCTCAGGACATTACCTGTCTGGGTAAAACCCCCAATGCACTAACACCTGCTTATCTTTTCTCATCACCGGTCTCAACCACTCTTCTGAAAGAGAAAAAGAAAATACTTTAGTCAAGGTAACAAAATAAATGAATAAACTGCTATTTAGACTTAATTTCTACTTAGAATTTTTGGTTTGCTCTGGGTGCCTGGGTGGCTCAGATGGTTAAGCGTCTGCCTTCGGCTCAGGTCATGATCCCAGGGTCCTGGGATCGAGCCCCGCATCGAGCTCCCTGCTTGGTGGGGAGCCTGCTTCTCCCTCTCCCTCTACTGTTCCCCCTGCTTGTGCTCTCTCACTCTATCAAATAAATAAATAAAATCTTAAAAAAAAAAAAAAAAGAATTTTTGGTTTGCTCATAAGCACCCCCCCAAAATTTTTTCTCATAAATGAACACTGTATCTGTTATATTAAGAGAAAGTTTTTCAGCCATGTATTCAGAACTCCTATAGCATAGGCCTATTATCCATTACTCTTGGCAAATCCAATTGTCCACTGCAGTAAAATACTCCCCTCCCACCCACCTGCCTGTTTGTCTCCAATTCCACCCGAATCATGATCACTATATTCTTTACTACCACATTTCCAAGTAAAACCTCTCCTCCCTCTTTCTGTGAGGCTTTGCAATTACTATACATTTTTCAAGGTGTAAGTCCTGCTTCATGTCCTTGATGAAAGTTTCACCATATACTCTTCTTCCTCTAGATTCACTTTCTCTGGTATCCTGTAGCACTTCACAGACTGCTACATCAAGTTTTTACCAATAATACTATTTTTATTATTTTTTAATGGCATCCTACCTGTTAATTTAGCCTTCCCAACAACAGTTTAAGCATATGATCATATTAGATATTTTTATTTTGAATTTCCTTACCAAATATAGGTGTAAATTTATACAAATTTACAGGATGACCCTTATTGATTTGAATCATAGTTGTATTATATCTACATTTTAGTACTTGTTATGGGATGTTTCTTTGGTAGTCTAAATTTAGCTTAGCACGGGGCACCTGGGTGGCTCAGATGGTTAAGCGTCTGCCTTCAGCTCAGGTCATGATCCTGGGGTCCTGGGATCGAGCCCCGCATGGGGCTCCCTGCTCGGCAGGAAGCCTGCTTCTCCCCCTCCCACTCCCCTTGCTTGTGTTCCCTCTCTCGCTGTGTCTGTGTCAAATAAATAAATAAAATCTTAAAAAAAATAAACAGGGCGCCTGGGTGGCTCAGTTGGTTAAGCGACTGCCTTCAGCTCAGGTCATGATCCTGGAGTCCCGGTATTGAGTCCCGCATCGGGCTCCCTGCTCGGCGGGGAGTCTGCTTCTCCCTCTGACCCTCCCCCCTCTCATGTACTCACTCTCTCTCATTCTCTCTCTCTCAAATAAATAAATAAAATCTTTAAATAAAAAAAAATAAATAAACAGTAGTTTATTGTCAAATAAATAAATAAATAAATAAATAAATTTAGCTTAGCAAACTTGTCTCTAGTGCTCAGAGGAAATTAATAAAGCCCCTTGAAACCCAAGAAATAGCAAAACAGAAAAACTTAAGTGAAACCAGCTAAGTAAACGTGGCTTTTCATTGCCAATTTCAACAAGAAATCATCCCAGCTTCACTGACTAAAGGCATGAAAGCCCACATGCCTATGTTTTGTTTTGTTTTTTAATTTTTATTTGAAGTAGGCTCCACACCCAACATGAGGCTCGAACTCACCACCCAGAGCTCAAGAGTCGCATGCTCTACCAGCCAGGTGCCCCAAGCCTGTGTTCTTTTTCAAGCATCCAACTGTTCACCTTACTATCTTGAGAGAAAGTGAATAGGAAAAAATCAAGCCCGGGTCCTTAACCTGATATCCCAAAATGGCCAAGAAAAAAGTGAAGAGGAGGCCAGTTGGTCTTTTATAACTCACTATGTAGCAACAAACAAAATATACTGCCTCTTAACTAGTAAGAACTGCCCTTTAGGATACTAAATCTATCTTCAAAGGCTGTGCAGCTTTAGGAGGTAAAGAAAAAAGAACACTCATTCTTTTTACAGCTGATTTTGATAGAAAGAGACTGTGGCAATGATTGCCTTTGGAAATTTTCCCAGTAGCAGAAATAACTAATGGTTAGAGATATAAATCCACATTCTTCCCAGAGATAATCATATGCTACACAGAACCAATAAAAAAGCCACAGTTTTATGAGTAAAAATTAGTCCAAACTGAGAATATATACATAACTCTCACAACTCAACAATAAGGACATAGTCTAACTAAAATACAAGCAAAGGAGGGCACCTGGGTAGCTCATTAGTTGAGCGTCTGACTCTTGGGCTTTGGCTCATGTGATTATCTCACGGTCATGGGATCGAGCCCCACTTCAGGTTCCGCGCTCAAAGGGAGTCTGCTGGAGATTCTCTCTCTCCTTTTCCCTTTGCGCCCCCCCCCACCACGAATAAACAAATCTTAAAAAAAACACAAGCAAAGGAGCAAATGAAACATTTCTCCAAAGAAGATACACAAATGGCCCAAAAGCACATGAAAAGACACTTGGGGATCATGGGATCATTAACAATTAGGGAAATGCAAATCAAAACCACAAAGAAAAAAAAAAAAAAAAACCACAAAGAGATACTGCCTGACACCCACTAGAATGGCTAATATAAAAACAGAGCAAATAAAAAGTGTTGATGAAAATGTAGAGAAATTAGTATTTCCACACAATGCTGATGGGACTGTAAAATGGTATAGCTACCTTGGGAAACATCGTGGTGGTATAAGAAAATGTTTACTACAGAGTTGCCAATATGGCTCAGCAATTCAATTTCTAGGTATAAACACAAGAGAACTGGAACCATACATCCACCCGATAACCTGTACACAAATAATCATAATGGCATTATTTATAAGTAAGTGTTCATAAACTTACAATTGGCTAAACAAAAGGTAGTATATCCATACAATGTAATGTTATTTGGCCATCATGTACAGGAAGTAACAAAGTAACATTACAGGAGGCCCCAGACCTTGTTCCACCACGGAGACACTGACTTAACACTAATATACCACCTAAAAAGTCTCCATGAGAACTCTAGAACCCAATTAAGGAGTTGCAGTACTTCAGGCAAGCTCAAAGTCAAGAACAGCTGCATTGTAACAGTAAGAAAAGCCATTTCGTATCCACCGCAATAGAAATTCTCCCAAGCCAGCAGAGTTCAGCAGGATCAGGAGGGAGAGCTCAGCTTGCAGCTTCTCCCTTGGGCTGAAAAGAGTGAATGTGCATCCAATATTCCAAATTATTAGGGGGGCTGTTTGCCTCACTGGACTTAGAGCACTGACAGAATGGACATATTTTGGATGTGTGGTGGTCAATGAGAGCAAATGAAATCTAAGCAACTTATTGTAGTACCAGAGAATCAGTAATGCCACAGACAGAGGCTGGTCAACTGGGTGTGATCAGGAAAAAGCACCAAGATCCCAACTTCTCCCCTGGTAGGAAGAAAGAAGAGTGGAATGTACACCCTACGTTCTGACTTTTCTGAGGGCTGCCCAAGGGACAGGTTTCTGTCTCAAATGACTCAGTGCTGATGGGGAACCACAAAGATCAAGAGAGAGCTCAGTGGCTTGTTGCAACAACAGAGAACTTGTGGTAAAGCAGAGAGACACAGAGAAAGCAAGATATTACAAGCTCCTGAAAGAGAAACCAGCATACTCTTTACACACACAAGTGCAGAGAAGATGCATCCTCTGAAAACCTTTGAGAGATGCCTCGAATCTCAAACTGAGCTGACTGGTGAAGGTCTTCCCCTGTACAAAGTCAGACCATAAAGACCAGGAGAAGCAGCTGTTCTTTCAAAGGCATAAAACACAGCAGAAAATAACAAGACACACAAAGAGAAAGGGAAATGGTCTAATCAACGGAAAATAATTAATCTCAAAAACTGACCCTAGAAGAAAGAAAAGATCTATAAATTATCTGACAAATACAAAGTAATCTTTTTTTTTTTTTTTTTTAAGTGGGCTCCATGCCGGGGGCACCTGGGTGGCTCAGTTGGTTGAGCATCTGCCTTCGGTTTGGGTCATGATCCTAGGGTCCTGGGATTGAGCCCCGCATCGGGCTCCCTGCTTAACGGGAAGCCTGCTTCTCCCTCTCCCACTCCCCATATTTGTGTTCCCTCTCTCACTGTGGCTCTGTCAAATAAATAAATAAATAAGAGAGTTGGACACTTAAACAACAGAGCCACCCAGGTGCCCCAAAATAATCATTTTAAATGAAAAACCAAAGGGTCAACAACAACGACAAAAATCAAAAGAGAAATTTTAAAAATCCAAAACAAAAAAGAATCAACATACCAAAATTTGGGGGATGCAGCAAAAGCAATTCTAAGAGGGAAGGTCATAGTGATAAATGCCTACTTTAAGAAACAAGAAAAATCTCAAACAGCCTAATTTTACACCTCAAGGAACTAGAAAAAGAAGAACAAATGAAGCCCAAAGTTAATAGAAGGAAGGAAATACCAAAAATCAGAGCAGGAATAAATGAAACAGAGACTAAAAAGACAATATAAAAGATCAATAGAGCCAAGAGCTGGTTATTTGAAAAAAATAAACAAAATTGGGGCTCCTGGGTGGCTCCATGGGTTGAGTGTCTGCCTTCAGCTCAGGCCATAATCTCAGGATCCTGGGATCAAGCCCCACGTTGGGACTCCCTGCTCAGCCGGGAGGCTGCTTCTCCCTCTCCCTCGCTGTTCCCCCTGCTTGTACTCTCACTCTCTCTCTAAATAAATAAAATCTTTAAAAAACGTAAAAAATAAACAAAATTGACTCATCAAAGAAAAAAGAGAAAGGGCTCCAATCAATAAAATCAGAAATGAAAGAGATGTTACAACTGATACCACAGAAATAAAAAGGATTGTAAGAAACTACTATGAACAGTTAAACACCAACAAACTGTACAACCTAGAAAAAACAGATAAATTCCTAGAAATATACAACCTTCTAAGACTGAATCATGAATAGAGAATCTGAAAAGACTGATTACTAGTAAGGAGACTGAATCAATAACTTAAAAAC